TATGAGATCGGTAATTTTGCGTGAATGAAACTTCTCCCAAAGGAACAAATGCTGATTTGAATCGATTTTTGGAGTTTTCATGGCTTGGCATTCGCCATAAATACAATGTCACCGTGGGCTACATCTCTGCGCAAAAATCTTTTCAAATGATCGGGTGAAATCTCGCCAAAGTGAACACTTACACAACCAAAACTTTTCGGCGCCGTTTTTGCAAATTAATAAACTTTAGGTCAATTTTTTGAGCTAAAGTCCATCGTTTGCACATTAACTTGTCAGACAATCCGTGACCTTGCAAAAAGTTGTGCTACAGGCTCAATTCTACTGACCAAAAGCCAAGTGGATCCGATTGACGCGCATTTTTTGAGGAATCCACACAACGGATCCGCTCATGCTTTTGTACAGTGGACTCTCATGTGAGTAGCATGCTCTGTGCAAAACTTGGGCTCAAGAAATTCATTGGAACTCGCTTCATGAATTTCGTGACAGACAGAGATTCAGACACACACACACACACAAACGTAAACAACCCTTAGCCCGTTATTATAAGTTATGATATATATATATATATACAGTGAGTTTCATAACTTTACGACACCCTCGACATTTGAGATTTCCGGATTTATAGAAGAGATCGAGTACTCCAGTCACTGCCCTCTGTGACCCACATAAGGTAATGAACAAAATGGCCTCTCAATCAATATGTCTACTCACTTGCTTTTCTACATGTAAAGACATGTCTATTCTTTGACTGTTTCATACATACGACGCCTTTGAGCAAAGCACTTTTCAAAGAAAAATAACTCGCAAAACGTGGTTTTCATAACTAATCGGGTTACCGGGCTCTTTTACCACTTCATCAAGCCTGTGGGAGGTGCTTTTAACAAATTCAAGCATGTCATTGCTTCAGTTGTCACATGCGTCCATAACGAGCTGCTCCAACTTTTCCAATGCCTCCTACTGCTTGTATCTGCTCAGAAACGCTGTGCCAATAATCTCGGGAGATTTGTTGGAGAATTTGACACAAGACAGTGTGGTCACCTTTACAGAAGCTGTTCGCCATGCTAGCGGAGAACGGCAGTATGTGACCCGGTGCACGGTTTACATGCGTTGTGCTGCTTCGAAACGTATTACTGTCACCGGCGCTTGTGGAAGGGAACAGTCGCTGGCTCTCCAGCACTTCTTGACAAGAGCGCGCAAATTTTTTCATCGAAATTTAGGCTTTTGAACTACGCAAAGTGCTCGCAGACTATAGAGGAACCTTAAAGTTTTTTTTGCTGAAATGATGTGGACTTTGCTTACAACCGGCCAGTCGGTCCTTTACCCGTCCAAACTAAATTTTTTGGTCAGATTATTACTAAATCACTGGCTCATAATTACTTTCATCTTCTTAACAAAGCGCCTGTGACAACACTACATACATTTCCGCAGCAGCACAACGCATGTGAACGTGCACGCGGGTCACTTACAGCCGTTCTCCGCTAGCGTCGCGAGCAGCTTCTGTAGAGGTGACCATACTGTCTTGTCTCAAATAATTCAAAAAACCTCTGGAAATATATGGCACAGCGTTTCTGAGCAGACACAAGCAGTATGAGGCATTGGAAAAGTTGGAGCAGCTCGTTATGGACGCTCGTGACAACTGAACCAATGACATGCTTGAATTTGTTAGAAGCATCTCCCATAGACTTGATGAAGTGGTAAAGGAGCGCGGTAGCCCGATTAGTTATGAAAACCACGTTTTGCGAATTCTTTCCTTTGAAAGCTTTGCTCAAAGGTGTCGTAAAGTTATGAAACAGTGGAAGAATAAACATGTCCCTACATTAGGAAAGCAAATGAGTGGACATATTGACTGAGATGTCATTTTATTTAATACCTTATGTGGATCACACAGGCACTGACTGGAGTACTCGATCTCTTCTGTAAATCCGAAAATCCCACATTTCGGAGGGTGTCGTATAGTTATGAAACGTACTGTATTTTCAGCCTGGAACTTTATTTTGTTACTTTGAAGAGAGCTATAAAATCGCTAGATCCAATCCAAACGGCAGCAGATCCGCAAATCTTAATCTGGCTCTAATGCGATAACACACACTATATGATATACTGTGTGTTCCAGGACAGCCAGCTTCGCAGGTACCTCGGCGACGCACACGCTGCACACGTTTGTGGTGTCCCAAGATGCTTTCGTTTTAACATTTCTGTAGGATTTACTTGCTTTTCTTTATTGTTTAGTGTGTTACTCTATATTTTTCCTGTTTAGGTGAAGGCGACTAATGACAATGCCTTCGCTCGAATTTCATTTGCTTCTGGAGCCTTTAGGGTTGTTATCGAGTTGAATCTGTGATTTGTCTTGCTAGTAAACTTATGGTGAAAACTTCTAAACTTCCTAAAGCTTTTCATTCTAGGCAAATTAACTTTTCGGCCCTGTTATACATGGCATTGCTGAATTTGCATACTGTTACTTCGTGCATACTCATACTTCTGATTCTTCTTTTTCTGAACCAGTCTTTTAAAGGCAGTGTCTCACCAAAGTTGAAGTCGCGCGGATTTTCACATATTCTATTATAGGGACCTCTAAGTAGGCCACTGCAACAAGTCCCACTCAATTTGACCCCCTCCATGCTAAGAAAAATTCGCTCAAAGTGGTACGCGGAGAGCGAGTTGGTACGCGCGGACGACTCCTTCGGTCTCCCCCCTTACGTGTTTGAACATGTCCCTCCACTTGGCATCCACCTCCCTCTGTTGCTGCCGCTGTGGCTGAGGCTGAAATTGAAAAGCACAACTCGTCCACGATGCTTTCGCGGGGCCTCCAGAAACGGGGTTTTTGGGAACTTCGTGCGATTTTAAGCCCATACATTGCTAGACAGGGTCCGACAGGCTTGCAAAATGCAAAATTCTCGGCGACTAAATTTTGGTGAGACACTGCCTTTAACAGTCAGAGGTAAATATACAGCTTTTTCTTCTTTCTCCGTACTTCAAATTCTATGCATCTATCATTCGGAAATTCAAAACTCTACCAATCGACTTAAATGTGAGCCAGTAAAAGCTGGTATGGACTTCCAAAAGTGAAACGAATCTTTGCCTTTTCTGATTTTACACTTCGCTCTAACATAGCTTCACGTTTCAATACCGGGTGAGAAACATCAACGAGTGCGCGTTGCCTGTGCGCCGCGGAGAGGCCTGCGGGAAGCTGGTGGGGCACACACTCTGTACATGGTTTGCTTGAGCACGCGTTGCTATTCATCAATCTGGCGCCTGACAGAGCTTTTGCACGATTAGGCGCTCACATGTGCGTGTCGCGGGCTAGGTGCTAGCGTCTGCTTGAGTCATAAGCTAAATGAAAACCCAGATGGGCGATTGTTACATGTTTCCAAGGGCGGTATGTATCAACCTGGCACTCGAGTAGGGGTCTGCTACCCGACCGGGCACGGGCGCCCGCACCCTCCATGCGTCTTTTCTTTGGGATGTTACTCGGCCAAGAGCCCGATGAGCTCAGTTTGGGATTAAGGGACGTGTCGACACATATTAAGTATGCCTGCCGATGCACTGAGTGCACCGTTCACGCGTTTCTTCGAGCATTTTTTCGCTTCAACTCAATGCGCGCATGCTTTTTTTCTCTTTTTGAGTTCAAAAGGCACCTGTATGTATTGCAGATTTCTAGGTTGAACATTTGGACTTCATCTAAGCATGAATTTTGTACTCCTTGACACATAAAACTTGTTGCGCTTTTCTTCATAAGTTGTTATCAACATAAATGTTGTTAGATATAAAGGACATTCGAAAAATCGTGAATGGCGCGATCGCGCGCCGCACGCACGCGCTCCCATCAACCGCATCTTCATGGTTTCTACCCTCGATATCAACTCACATGTCTTCCCTCGACATGGCATGGATTACATGGATTGGTAAGGTCCGTCTCTTCGGGCTTGCGCCACATCGCGAGCCCGAAGAGACGGGCCCGCGACGTGGCGTGACTTGGGCTTGAAACAACCTGGCCCCAGGCTTTCTTAAGTTGTTCTTGTTGCCGCGTCACGCCAAAGCAGCGCACGGAACGTGGCGCAAGTCCGAAACGAGCGGCGCCTTACCAATCTACGTAATCTACGTCATGTTGATTGAAGACATATGGGTTGATATCGAAGGTAACTCTACTCAAATGGTTTTCTTGTTTACATCTTATGTATAAAGCTGAATGTCTGTATGTCTGTCCGTACGTATGTGCGGAATAAAAAATTTTATTTTTGAACAGATTTTGACCAAACTTGGCACACATATACTTCGGGGCAGGGAGCGTGTCATAGGCTTTTCGTTATCGATCTATATCAATTTTATCGATTTTTTGCAAAATTTGAGCTACGGGGCTGGGAGTTGGCACAGGGGAAGGGGGTAAAGCATGCTGATTACAAGTATGTTATTGACAGGGTCGGGCGGAGCCGGGTTTGTCAACTAGTTTGATAATATTCGGCCACCGGAAGTGACTGAAGTAAACGATAACATGATACCTTTTAGTATAGACAGACATTTTATGCTTCTCTGTGCGCAAAGACCGCAGTCAAACCCATTATCGCGATTTTAAGAACAGCCTACACCTACCTCTAGGTAATGCATTTAATGATCTTCACTGAACCGCTGCTGTTTCTCTAGAGAATGAGCAGAAGGATAGGAAAATACTGAGTTTGATGCTTATTTTGCATCAAGACTTAGACACATCGGAAGCTTTCTTTCAGAAAGGTTAGTAATTCTGTATGGAATAGGAGATAGTGCTGGCACTTATGGGGAGAATGTCGAGGTTACTCCACACCCCTGGCTGAACCCACTTTTCTAACAGTTATGGCACTGCATCGGCACTCAACAGGAAATGGTAGGACCCGTCAGCTTTTTAGTATACCCAAATGTTTCTAGATTATATCTAACACAAATCAAGTTTATTATTCGAAAGAAGTGTAGACAATATAACACATTATCTCAGTTAAGTGACGCAATAGCTGGCTCCAGCAGGCGATCTTCTATTTCTCTACTTTGGCTTCAGGCGGCCCAAAATTATCATAGTCGCCTTTGTCATTCATAGCTAAAATGAATGCGGTTTTTTTGGTCGCAGATTCTTTGATGCTTGTACCCATTTGCTCCGCAGCTGCGAGTAGCGCTAGAGTTTCGCCTGGCACAGCTGCTACCTTGTCATTAATATCGATAGACCCTAAAATAGAAATTTACAAAGTAAATTTTCAACCTTATATGTCACCCCCCCCGTTCTTATTCACTTACTGCTAGAGCCTGGTTTTGAAATTTCCATTTGCGTTTTTGCTTCGTCCACTGCTGTTCCGCTGGCGGCAGGTTTTAACTCTATAATTTGCGTCTTTTCTATCACATGATCCGTTTTGTTAGCTTCCTCTTTCGGTTTTTTAAATTTTTCATCGACTTTTGCGACTTTGATCTCTTCTTTAGTGACTTTATTTACGCCTTTGACAACATCCTTTTCCTTTATTTCCTTCTTGTCTTTCTTACTGCTTTTGGGCTCTGTTTTTTCATTGCTCATCTTTCTTTCTTCCGATTTCTTCTCAGTTTCATCTCGGCCAAAGCGCCGTTTCTGCCAAGTAAGGGATCTTTTGAAAGGACGTGCATTTTCGTTGGTATACGATAGGGATGTCGATACAGTTTCACTTTTCTTGTAATAATTGTCTGGTGTAGCGCTTACCTAAGACTCTGCTTAAGATTTGCCAGTGACCAAAAAATCTTTTGCTTACCGATATAGGCATCCCTCGTCCTTCGCTTTTCATGTCGTTATGTCTGGCGCATAGACTCATGAAGCAAATCCATCCCAGCAGATTGAGGAGCAGCTGCAATGTAAAAAGCCTGAGATATGATGAGTGAGCAAGCGATTAGCTCACAGTCAGCACTTCCAACATAGACGACCACCGAACATAGAGATAACTTGATAAAATAACCAATCCCGCTTGAGTCCAGCCCTTATAATTAAATTTTTCTGGCTCTGATAACATCCGCAGCAGTAACTTCATGTAATAAAACGAGCAACGTATGAGCGGCCCATAGGTTTGCAGTCGAAGTCTTGAAACAATTGAGCTGCAACTGTCCTAAAGTAGTTCAATCTTTTTCCGACCTATCATTGATCGCGAAACTTTACTTTCCAAGCACAAATCCAACTTCGGCTTTCACTTGATACATGTATGTAAAATGTGTATAGACCATATAGAGACAGATTGACGGCTATGATTGGAGAGAAGCCGATGATACTCAAGACGGCTGCCTGTCTTTGAACTCTCGTATATTTAAGCTGATAAAGGAAGAAATGTCGAGTCCCCCATTCGATATGTGCCGGGTCATCAATCTTGAAAGATTACACATTTGCTTGTTTGTTCATTTATTACGCTAAAGGCGCGAACAACACAAGTTAGTTAACACATTCGAAATAAGAGAAAAAGTGCCAGAAACTTGAATAGATGGACAAGGTACTAACGCGTAAATAGAGACCATTCGTAAATCTAAGTCCGAGATACAATTTCAGTGGAAGTAGGCATTGAGGTAGCTACTAGAAGCTGCCATAAGATTTGTTTCATGGATCATGGTAGCTTCTATGACGCGAAAATCTTGGAAGGCAGAGGCTGGCACGAGCAGTAACATAAAAGCTATTTCTTTCCAGGAGAAGAGAAGAACTGAGGTTATTGTAAATATTGCACATAATATCAGCGGAAGCTGTAGAGCACCCGCTGTAACAGCAAGAACTCGTTCTGCACGATCTGTTTGTAAGTTCTCAATAGGTAATGTAAATGAGCTTTTTGCAGAAAAGATCTTTTGTGCGTGGCTTTCAAGCAGTTCTCCATCGGCGATGGGGCATCAACTTCATCTTATGAATTTCTGAGTTTGAATAGTTCTAGATCCTACGGAAAGAATTTTTAGACCTGCTTTTTCCCTCTTTGCAACGATTTCGTGCAGGAGTGAAATCCCAGTACTGACAGTAAAACGCGCTCCACCCGAACCGTCCAGTGCGACTAACATGTTGAAGACACTGTATTTTTTCCGTTGCAAGCAGATCATAAAGAAGATAAAGAACATCAACTCATGGTTTTGTCTAGACGCCTAAGGCCATAGTGCGTGCATTTCTGCTGAATGGGAGTCCTCATCTGAATTACTTACTAACAGCTCATAAGATTTAGCCGTTACCAACAGATTAGCTCCGAACTCTTGCTCAGACCGTATTCTCTACCGTACCCAGGGAGGCTGACTGATCCGCTCGAGGAATATATGAGCTAGAGTTAGAAGATATTGTTTTTTTACAGCGAGGAGTAACCAAATGGGCTTTCAATCAGTAATTATTTTAGAACTCTGCTATCAAGTTCAGTATTCGATTAGCTCAAAGGCGTCGAATCAGCAAAATGGGCCCTTATCGGATTTCGGTAGTGTTAGGTAGTAGACTTCCCAAGTACACTGTAGCCCCAACTCCGCCCTCCAATTCATGCGCTGAGTCCTGAAAAAGCGCTTCGAAACTCCGCATGACGCCCATTCAATGGAAGTGGACGGGGCTATGGAGTTTTGAAGCTTCTTTACAGGACTTAACGTATGAATTGGAGAATGGGTTGGGGCCACGATGTACTTGAGAGGTCTACTACCTGAAACTGCCAGAATCTGATAGGGGTCCATTTTGCCGATCCATTGCTTTTAAGCCGCCAAATTCTACAATATTAGAGTAGGATCTGTTTTTTAAAGGTCCAGTACCTTACTTGGTGCAGGTTTCTGATGATTAACATTATTTCAGCACATTTTTCAGGTCACGAGCGCTTCTTTTCATTTCAGCAGTTATCGCAGAAGTTTGTAATCATCTATCAGAATATAATTTGAATCGTAGTTGTCGTAATATTGCAGCATGTTATGGAGCATGTTGCAATATTACGACAACTACGATTCATATCTTATATTTCTAAGTTTTGGTCCATGTAAGCGTTAGGAATTATCAGACATCATTCACTTTTAGCTTTCTTTTTACTAGGAATTGATATCACGGTCCAGTTAACGGTTCGTATAATATCTTAGTGTAGACTTTATGCCCAAGAAAGGTGATCGTGGGTCACCTGCGGTCACTCAAAGTGTCGAGCGAAACACCGCTATCTCAATATTTGAGCTTGCGCTACTTCAGTGACTGACCACACGTGACATCCGGAGATCAAATATTAGCTCGATGCGTCGACTCACTTTAGCGCAAGGCTAACTATGTGGCCGCGTAACCTCAATATGGCTTTGCTATTTTCTGCTATTTTATTACTGTCAACAACTACTTCCTTTCCATCGTTTCAGTGGAAAACAGGTAAGATGATGTGGTTTCCTCAAGTTTGAATTTCTTGCAAAGTAATGTAATTACGGTATCTTACAGCTGCAGTTTGTGCAGCGCATATTTGGCTTGAAGGTTGTCCTCCTTTGTGGCGAGTTGTTAAAGTATTTATAGACTTAATTTCAACCCTTTTGATTTCATAATAACTAAAATGCAAAACTTTCAGGTTATACAAAAAATTTTCGTGCGGGTATTTTTTGTGATGATTATGATCTCCATTTCGCATAATAGGATTATGTGTGGGTTCACGGTAACCATACAGTACGGTATGCAGTTAAAAAATCAGACCGTTTATTTACTGCGCACAAATAATATATCCATTCTTCACGATAGCGGGGTAATTTATGATGGTATTAGTGAAATATGTGACTTAACAATTATCACATAGTCTGCCTTCACTTCAATTCTCATTACTTTGATTACCACTACTTTATGTGAGTTGAAAATTTATCGTGCACGACACTAATGCTTGTATTTGAAATGGAGAGTCACAATTTCATTTTTTTTCATGGTATCTTCACTACATCTGTACCCTTCCGTGTAAACTACCATAAAGTGCATGCCTTTGTAGACATGACTTTTTCAGAACCACTTGAGCCAAATTATGGTGCGGTGAATAAGCTGCTAGCATCCCTGTCATTCTATCCTTCAGAAGGACTGATATCGGCCGGTAAGTTCACGATGCTCAACTGCTCTGGGGCTTTTCTTCAATATTCCAATACTTGTTTCGTAAGAATTCTTAATTATGTGGGACCAAATCAGCTACATGTAGGCTGTTTATGAAAATCATCAAATCATCATCAAGCAAATCATCCCACATCATAAAAATTTTTTGCTGTTGCTTTGAAACTGATTTGTCTTCGGTTACTAGTATTCCCCCCCCCCCCTCCCCCACCCCATCCCATTTGTCAAGTTAGGGCCTGTTGAAGGTTCGTCAGCTTGGTTGAATTTATGAAATTCGATTCCTATCCTAGTGATAGTATCAGATAAAATCTGCCAGTGTGAAAAGGGCCATACAGATACTGGATTTACAATGAGCAGGATCCGCGCTTTTTCGACAAGGTTTATTTTGTGTTTTTTGGGCTAATTATTGAGTCGAAAATATACAAGGCTCATACTCAGGGTCAAGCGTAGCGACCTGGGGGTCGTATTGAGGAATCAGGGAGGGGGGGGGGTCGTTATCAAAGCGTCTTCGCATAACATGATATTCGTTAACAATGTCAAATAGGCCCGTCATGCAAAATACTAGCACATTGATGTTTGACCCATTAACGTATACGTACGGTAAGCATAATTTAAGATCTATAAAGCACTAGTTGGCAAACCCGGCTCCGCCCGGGACTGTCATTATTATATTCGTAATCAGCATGCTCGATTACCCCCCTGTGTCAACTCCCAGCCTTGTAGCTCAAATTTTGCAAAAAATCGATAAAATCGATATCGATCGATAACGAAAAGTAGCCTATGACACGCTCCCTGCCCCGAAGTATATGTGTGCCAAGTTTGGTCCAAATCGGTTCAGAAATAAAAATTTCTATTCCGCACATACGTACAGACAGACATACAGACATACAGACATTCAGCTATATATATAGGATAAGAGCATCGTTCTGTGATTAGCAAGTAGAATAACCCCTGTGCTCAGACAATCGCCGGGGGCAGGCGGGCACCGGAAAAATAGATGGCTGATTTCTCGCACCCCGCTTGCGGATTTTTTGGAAAGCAATCGGGACTTTTCGGAGGACCGCTTGCTGAGTCAGCGGGTTTTTAAAAAACCGCCTGTTGAATTTTTTTTCGCTCTTATCTTTTGCAGATATAGTGCTGAATCTCTGAGGAATCGAGAACTCAGCAAGCGGTCTTTCGAAAAGTCCTGATTGCTTTCCAAAAAATCCGCGAGCGGGGTGCGAGAAATCAGCCATCTATTTTTCCGGTGCCCGCCTGCCCCCGGCGATTGTCTGAGTGGTCCAAGTTTCAGCGAATTCTGAAGTTCGCAAATACAGGACCATTTAAGTGAGATGGTCGTTTTCAAACATGTTACTTTGTTTCAAAGGTAAGTTAACTACTTCTTTTTGCGCTTAACACAAAGAATAAAATAATAATAAATAAATAAATAACGATAATAAACAAACAATACGGCCTTAATACAATACTGTTTCTTGCTCACATTAGGACTACTTCAAATGATCTACAAATTAACGAATTAAGAGCAAGCCAAAATCTCGTTTGTTCCATTTTTCGTTTTCAACATCTCAGGCTGGAGAAGACCAATGAGGCTCAAATCACTTTGATGTAGATTACGAGGCTTAGGCTATCGAATATGTACATTCTTGTCGCCTTCCCTTGCGATTCACGTAGTAGCGCAGACTTGGCGTGTTACCGTATCCCAATATTTTCGCAGTATTTCACCAATATTTTACATTTGCATAGGTAAGGAAAAACGACTATATCTTGCTCTTGAAGATAATTTTCATATGAAATTTCTGCTATGTAAAGAAGAAGGTTAAGCATTAACAACGATATAGAAAACGCAGCTATTTGATCTTTTGAAGATAAGTTAATGGGGTTTGACACCACCCCTAGAAAGCTGTGGCAGCCACAGTGCCACACCCCATTAACTATATTAAAAAAACATTTTTAGCAAACGTTATTCATATGAATCGATAGCCTAGACCGCGTAAAATTCATAGGAATGATTTGAGTTTGATTCGTCTTCTAAGCTCTGAGTAATATTTGATGAAAGCACAACCATTAAAATCGAAAAATGGGAAAAACAAGATTTTCGTTGGCTTCTAATTGCGAAGTTAGGCGGTCTTTTGAAGCGAGATTTCTGAAGTGGCCAAACAAGAAGTAGTGATTTGTCTTGAGTGCAAAAACAGCTAGCTACTTCATCTCTGAAACAAAGTTGATCATACTAGAAAATGGCGATTTCACTTAGGTGACCCAGTATCTTGAAACTTCGGAATTCGCTCAAACATTGTCTACAGGGGTTAATCGACATGCTAATCATGGATATGCTGCCCGTTATGTTTGACAGAGCCCTCAAGTAGTGCTATCTTTGGTGTATAGTTCAGGGGGTCTTTGTTGAGACAGCAATATGAGGGGGGGGGGGGTCGTAACCAGCGATCGTATCCCACATCTCTTGTTTGACTCTGCTCATACTGTTTTTTGTGGTATCATCACTATATTATATTGAAGGAATTTTTATTCCCAAACTAATTTTCGTTGCCTCGATCATATATAGTTCTTATTGCTGAAATCTTTAACTCAGCCGCTCTATGATGTATTTTTTTACTCCTAGTAAGTATGGTTAAATTTCTCACCCTTTCTTATCCCCTATTCCACTCCCTCCCCCCCCCCCCTTCCACCCTCAAAACCATACACCTCCTCAAATACTTTTTCTATGTAATGGAAGCTAGAGTTCTCAGCGTTATTCACTCGCCTGGTTTTGAGATCTCTCGCAAAGAAGACGATATTTTTAGGACCAGTTCGAACTGTTCGCTCAACATCATCAACACTCTAAACTCACAAGAGATTGTGATCGTCACGTGTTCTACAGTCCCTACATGTTCGAGAGAAGCTCCTGAAAACGATTGTCGACTGTCGCTGTCACTAAAAATGCGCATACAGTATTTATAACAAGGCGCTCTTGTCTAGCACATTCGTATTCCACTCGTTACATCCGGTGATTTCGGAGAAGCGACTCGGGCTGTTATGAGCGATCGTGGTGAATAGCAAATTGTTATGTGTGTTAGAAATTTATTATTAGAACTGCATGCATTTTGCAGAAGAATAGAAGACGGAGGGGGGGGGGGTGGAGCAGAGAAGAGAAGGACTACTGTGATTTATTCAGCGCATATTTGATGAGCAGAAACTTATCGAAAAATCAGAGAATAAGAAATTACATCCATTATGAACGAAATTAATGTAAGCTAAATGGTTGCAACAAAAGCATAAACATTTATTCGTTAAACCGGATGGGTGAGGATGAAAAAAAAGTATGTGGAAAAAATAAGATTTGAAAAAAATAGGGTAGGGAAAATTGTATTGTTCGGTTCAAAGGATCACCTCAACTGATGTCTAAAAAATTGAAAACTGTTCGAAGTGCGAGCTCACAATTTATTCGCGCTTTATTTTTATCATTCTAACAAAATTCACTATGTGAGCAACCCAAGTCTTCAAGAATCTGAGAGTTTTATTCTTCCCAGTTTCATCCCCAAGAAATCACTCTTCATTCCCTTAAGTTAGAGATTCCTTCTGCCACAAAGTGTTTACTCAACGGCGTCGTTAACTCTTCGTGACTGCGAAATTTGGCGCATTGCCAAGCTAAACGATGTTAGTTAAACCCATACATGTGAAAAGGCGATAATGTGTTCCTACCCTCTTCACCCCAGGGCCGGAACCCAGCTAACCCCCCTTCACCCACGGCCGATGAGGAACTGGAAAAAGTGAGACTAAGACATTAGCATTTCAAGCAAAATTATAAAACTATCCACATTATTGAAATCAAATTTAGTAATATTTTAATTCCTAATTTCATTGATATGATCATCAAAAACCTATTTGCAGGCTCACTGAGAAGTACATCGGAAATTTGCCGCATATTGTTCACTTCTAGAGAACGATGAAAAAGCTTGGAGAAAAATTTACGTGTGAAGCCTTTGTATAGACGTCAATGAAGTTATTACTCACGTATTTGCTGAAATAATAAGTGAAATAATAAATGAACTTTGATGATCGGTGCGCAGTTAAATTGCATTCTTTTTAAGAGGTATAAATTTTCTAAGCAGATGGCGGAATCCGCTTAAAGTTAAAGAGTCATTGTTCCAACTTTTAATATTATTTCTAAACTTCGAAAGAGATCGTAAAATTTGCGTAGAGAAGCAGGTGCAACAGAGGCACCTATTACATCGAAGAGTTGGTGTGATCAGGGTTAGACTTACTGTCAAAATGTTATAGCTACGAGGATCGTGGAGTTCTACAATCCGCCTACTTGGACGATGATAGGAATGAGGAAAGCAGCCAGAGATGCACTTTTCCACCTTGGAGCACACAAGAGGAGAAGGACAATCGTATATGATCACTGCGTGATTATTTTGGAAAAAATTTTGTTTTCCATCGAAGAAGATTGAGAAATATAAAAGATCTTGGAAGAAGAACTCAGTCATAATTAGCCTACTCTAGTTTAGAAGTCTACTTTCCTCCGCATCAGAAAACATACAGCTTGCCAGGAAAAGAGGGGTTTTTCCTGCTAAATAGAATTAGTTTTAGTCATTTTTTCAAATTGTAGAATTTTTCTATAAAAAATTGTAGATTTTTGATATGAGAAGATAAGAGAGTCTCTAGCCATGCATTGAATTACTCTTGCTGAAAGCTTCCAGAAAATATATAGCTTACCAAGGAAGAAAGGATTTTCCTGTATTGTGAAGGTGGTCGCAATTGTTTTTCTAATCAAGGAAATTTTTTTTATAAAAATTCATAACTTTACTATACGAAAAGATAGAAAAGTGCTTTGCACTCTATTGGAATCCCGTCGTCGTCCGCTTTCAGGGAATATATAGTTTGCCAGGAAAAAAGAGGATTTTCCTATCGGGTGAAAGGGGTCGCAGTCTATTTTTCGGAATTAAGCCAATTTTTAACTTAAAAAAATCATAACAATTTTATATGAGAAGCTGGAAGAGTGATTAGGTGTTCATTGAATTCCTCTCGTCGTCCGCTTTCAGAAAATATAAAGGGTGTAGGGAGAGGGATGCTAAAAGTACGTGGTGAAAGGGGAGGGAACATGGTACAATGGGCATGTTCCTTTAGCTCCTTAAAACGACGCTTTTTGAGTACAGAAAGGAAGATTTCCATTATACCATGTTCCCTCCCCTTTCACCACGTACTTTTAGCATCCCTCTCCCTACACCCTTTATATTTTCTGAAAGCGGACGACGAGAGGAATTCAATGAACACCTAATCACTCTTCCAGCTTCTCATATAAAATTGTTATGATTTTTTTAAGTTAAAAATTGGCTTAATTCCGAAAAATAGACTGCGACCCCTTTCACCCGATAGGAAAATCCTCTTTTTTCCTGGCAAACTATATATTCCCTGAAAGCGGACGACGACGGGATTCCAATAGAGTGCAAAGCACTCTTCTATCTTTTCGTATAGTAAAGTTATGAATTTTTATAAAAAAAATTTCCTTGATTAGAAAAACAATTGCGACCACCTTCACAATACAGGAAAATCCTTTCTTCCTTGGTAAGCTATATATTTTCTGGAAGCTTTCAGCAAGAGTAATTCAATGCATGGCTAGAGACTCTCTTATCTTCTCATATCAAAAATCTACAATTTTTTATAGAAAAATTCTACAATTTGAAAAAATGACTAAAACTAATTCTATTTAGCAGGAAAAACCCCTCTTTTCCTGGCAAGCTGTATGTTTTCTGATGCGGAGGAAAGTAGACTTCTAAACTAGAGTAGGCTAATTATGACTGAGTTCTTCTTCTAAGATCTTTTATATTTCTCAATCTTCTTCGATGGAAAACAAAATTTTTTCCAAAATAATCACGCAGTGATCATATACGATTGTCCTTCTCCTCTTGTGTGCTCCAAGGTGGAAAAGTGCATCTCTGGCTGCTTTCCCCATCCCTATCATCGTCCAAGTAGGCGGATTGTAGAACTCCACGATCCTCGTAGCTATAACATTTTGACAGTAAGTCTAACCCTGATCACACCAACTCTTCGATGTAATAGGTGCCTCTGTTGCACCTGCTTCTCTACGCAAATGTTACGATCTCTTTCGGAGTTTAGAAATAATATTAAAAGTTGGAACAATGACACTTTAAGGAATCATTCAATGACTTTATGCGGATTCCGCCATCTGCTTAGAAAATTTATACCTCTTAAAAAGAATGCAATTTAACTGCGCACCGATCATCAAAGTTCATTTATTATTTTGCTTATTATCTCAGCAAATACGTGAGTAATAACTTCATTGACGTATATACACAAAGGCTTCACACGTAGATTTTTCTCCAGGCTTTTTCATCGTTCTCTAGAAGTGAACAATAGATGGCAAATTTCCTATGTACTTCTCAGTGAGCCAGCAAGTAAGTTTTGACAATCATAATAATAATATTCAGAATCAACATGTCACTAAATTTGATTTTAATGATGCGGATAGTTTTACAATTTTGCTTAAAATGTTGATTTCTTAGTCTCACTTATTCCAGTTTTTCTTCTTCGAATTTCAGCGGATAAAACCCAATATTTGACTTTAACCCGGTTTGGCTACAATTTCACTTGATGCATGTGAATGAAAAGAACATGAGAAGCAATGATGACGAACATTGCCTCCCCCCCCCCCCCGGTCGACGCACCTCCACAGCCGCGGCCGCTCTCCCCCCTCCCCCAGCGGCCCTCACACCCCCTTCACCCTGGAGAGGCGGGATCCCTATGACCCCCTTCACCCTGGAGAGGCCATGTTCCCCCTTTGCACACGTATGGTTAAACCTGTTTGAGTTTATGCCAGTTCTGCTGGAAGGAAATCTGGAGCGAAAATTCTAGAATCTGTTGAACATGAGCAGCCATCAAATCAACTATTCAAATAATGTTGCTTTTCCTCTTCTTTACTTGCGCTCTCCTGCAAAATTTGCACTTATGCGGGTTCCGGAAGTTCCGCCAGTTTCTGCAAGATCTTGCTTGCACCCTATAAGGACTGCCATTTTTTCCAGGCACAGTGCAAACAGACGGCAAGTAATGACACGAAACGATGGATGAGAAGAGTCAGCATCGACGGCGACACTGAATAAACATGCGAACTACGGTACATCCGCGCGTAATGAATTCAGCCTCGTTGCTAGAAGAAGAAATGAAAGAATCGCGCTTACCGATTACACTAGTAGTCATGTTTTCCAGATGTTTTGAGTGATGGATAGAGTTAAATAGTGCTATTGGTATGCTCTTTCTACAACTTCTTTTGAGTTAGAAGCTTTTGAGTGAAAAGTCTCAGGGTTCTGAACAGGGCTCGGCACAAATTGGCTCTAGAAAATTTTCAGAACAAAGTCCCCTTTGATCTTGAAAATTTTTTAGGAAGTCCCCTTTGACCCTAAACCCTAACATAAAAAACCATTGAAAAAAAAAACGAAACGTCGATTAGACGTCACAATCATTGTGTTTTTTCGGCCACAAAAAAATGATATTTCTTTTGCTTTTTGTCCCAAAAACGATATCCAGCTTGATCCGATGTCAGCAGTGCCGAGCTCTAATCCTGAAATCGCTCTTTTTGAAAAAAAAAATGCAAATTCAGAAATGGAAAGCAACAGAAACTTTCGACCTTTCCTTTTTGCATGAGTCGGCTGCGTTGTTTTCTATGAGAAATATGAAAAAATGTGAATTACACTGTTCTTGAAAAAGGTGCGAGCCGTCAATTTCATGCAATTTCTCCCTTTATGAGTAGTTTGTTCTTCAGCCCCTCCCCTCCCTCATCTTTCACTTCTGTCCCCAGTGTACTGCTACGATCATTCGTCAACACTTTTCTGTCCAAGAAAAGAAGTACTTTGATCACCCTTTCTAACAAGAAACTCAAGGTTTGCTGACTGACAGGCCTCAAGCCATTTATTCAAATATCAATTTGATAATTCAGAACAAGAATAAACTCAAAAATGTTTTCTGTCAATTCCCTTTCGATCAAAGAGGGTAAATTTCGATTCATAGCTGAAGAGTAAATTGCACCGAAAAGATTGTTTTTTCGTTTGGTTTGGTATATAACGTTTAGTTAAAGTTTGGTATATACCATTTAAAGTTTGGTATATTCCAATTTATGTTTGTATATACCAAACTAAAAAATCTTGCTCACAGTCAGCTACAAGTTCCAATTTTTGGATTGGTTTAATGTAAAAAGCAACCCCTTGTAATTGTAGGCAAAAACCAAGTACTATAATCAAAAGATTGTGCAACACTGTGACTGCAGGAGATTTAACAAATCACAAGCTGCTTAAAAATCTTGTGAGATTTTGTAAAACAAGAATCAAGTGAGCAATTCGCTAACCTGGGTCAAATATTTAGAACCATCATCCAGCTGTCCATTCTGTTGCCTGTTCGAGCAAAAATATTGGGGACAATTCCAGAAATCCTTGAAGCTATGAGTGAATACCATTATAGCAAAGTCACAATTAGTCTGCTGGCATTGGCTCAGATTTCTTTCCAATAAAAGCCGTTAATTTTTTTGTCGGATAATTTATTGTACAAAACTCCTAGACTTTATATTGTTGTGAAATTAGCTTTCAGCTTTGAGGATGAGTTTTGGACAGTATCATAGTCAATAAGTCTTATACTACACAAGGGTCCAAAAAGATGTCCTACTGTTTGATTGTTGATAACTCTTTTGTAATGAAGTCTTTCGAGAAGCGTTAGGTACACTTTTGTAGAGATGGTTTCAGCCTAGATTTACACTATGGAGCGCATTAAGATTCTATCTTCGCTACTGTAGGAGCACGGTAGGAAATTTTCCAGCATATGGCGCGACTGTGAAGAAGGCCGTTTGAAAAAAAACTTCCAGAAAAAATTTGAAAAATTCTGTAACAAGAATTCTATGCAAGCTGATTTCAGGACGCAAATACATATTAGGTTGTCCGGAAATTGATGCCCGTTTTGAATTTCAACCGCAATAAGTCATACACCCTCATTTCTAAACAGGATGCAAAGTACCATTCGATAGAGCAAAGCAAGCTCTACAAAAAAGCCATCTTGCTTTTGCAACAGCTCTCATCCACCTCGAGTTTCCAGCCAAAAACTAAAAAGACTCAGCAGCCCGAAAAATCGAAAAAATCGTAACTCAGTCCACAAAAATCCTACAAAATTCTTACTTGCTCACGTAAACACTATCCACATAAAACATCTATATACGCCTTTGCCGTATTTTTTGCTCTGTTAGAAATCAAGAAAACGCAAATTTTCGTACATTTGCCAAAGTCGTGTTGTGCCGTCCCCACATACATAGTTGTATACTACAAACCTGTAGAAGTACAAACGTAAATTCTCAGCTCTCTATAAGCTTTAGTTCTCAAGAAATTTGAATTTTAGCTTGGACCACCTAACTAAGGAAAGCTATATTCGGTATTTCTCGAGAACTAAAGCTTGTAAAGTGCTGAAAATTTAAGTCTGTACTTCTACAGGCTTGTGGCATACAACCACCTATGTGGGGACGGCACAGCATCACTTTGGCAAATGCACGAAAATTTCCGTTTTCTTGGTTTCTAACGGAGGTAAAAATACGGCAAAGGCGTATGTGGATGTTTTATGTGGATAGTGTTTACGTGAGCAAGTTGGAATTTTTGTAGATTTTTTATGAACTGAGTTACATTTTTCTCAATTTTTCGGGCATTTGAATCATTTTAGTTTTCGCCTTGAGGCTCGTGGTGAAACAGAGCTGTTGCAAAAGCAAGATAGCCTTTTTGTAGAGCTTGCTTTGTTCTATCGAATGATACTCTGCATCCTATTTAGAAATGAGAGGTGTATGACTTATTGCGGTTAAAATTCAAAACGGGCATTAATTTCCGGACAACCTAATATTTGCACTTTTGTAGAGCTTTTTAAATCGACTAATAAGATAACCGACGAATAGCAGAATTTGGTTGTTGTGGTATATTTGGCATAACTCATGAAAAATGTCAGTTGTTATATCTGCCATAACTTATGAATAATGCTATGTAAAGAGCGAGTTTCATGTCCGAAATTAGCGACTCTGATTAAGCTAATGTAGGATCTTTCAGCTTTTACAGGTGAAATATGCCTTATCTACTTTTAATTTAGTCTATTTAAGTTTGCCAGGCTGTCGAAAAATTGAAGAAATTTGCTTGAAATCAAGGAGGTACGGAGTAAATTGTAACTTTCTCCAAGGCAGACTTAACTAGAGCTTCGCAATCTCAAAAGCGCATCTGCGAGTTTGAATTGCATCAAGTGAATCTTCCGGACTTACCGTAATCCAAGCAAGTCCCTGTTATGTAGCAGAATTTTCTCATGCTTTTTTCACAATGTTCGCTGCTCAACAAGTGCTGTTCTTCGTCGTCGTTCTCGTTGAGTTGTCAGTCAACCTCGCCGTCGAAGAAAAGGTAGTTTCGGGCTCTCCTTAAACGACCTTGTTCGCCTTCACAAATGAATACATAAACGACGATCAAGAAATAGAGAGGATAGATAGGAGCGAGGCGAGAGAGAGCGTTCATTGAAGCATCGTTGGACGCCTAATGTAAATGATATGTTGCAAGTCAATTGATTTGGGACATGGGAACCACCGTTCGTACGACCGAAAACGTGAAAGACCCACTTTGTGCGTTTGGAGTTAAGTGGCGCCTTCGACGAATGGAACGGTGCTCGAAGTTCGTCGTGTAGTGTGATTACGGAACATGCGCCACTTTTTTCGTCGCTCGTATCGTAGTGATGTGCAATCTTCAACTGTGAATAGGTCGTGTCTCTTAATGCGTATTCTATCTCACAATGCGATTTTGGGTTAGTTACGGTAGGAGAGAACTATGTCACCATGAAGAATCAATAGGTTATTTATAAATGGTGGTTGCCAAAAATCCTTGACCCTATCAAGCGTTAAAAGAAGGTGACAAAAAGTCGGCTACGTATATTCTTGCGTACAAATAACTTTTTAGATGCATTTGGTGCAAGTGCACAACGTTCTGAGTTTCCATCCAATTAAGCATTTGCTTCACGGAATTTTTTTACTCCTGCTACTAATATTAGTCTAATAGCATTGCTACTAGTATCACTACCGTACGAGTGCAAATGCTATTACCTACACCGATTTTCATGGGAAAGGAGAGGGGGGGGGGGATTTCTATCTTTTAGAAAGGCGACTTTTTTACAGCGGATGCAAAGCAAATTTACATGAAAACGTGATCAAATGCCACAAAAGTGAATGAAAAGCTTGATTTTGAGACTGTTATCGATCTTGTTGTCTAAATAAAAAGTTGTGCACTCAAATCAGCAACACAGGGATTGATGTCAAATCTAGTTATTGTCATAATTATTGGTTACGTACGGAAAATAGACCCAAAAACTGGTATGTGATTAGAAAGATTTTTTGACTAACAATTTTTCCAAAGTTTCAAGATTCTTGCAAATGGAGCTAGGGTTTCCAACATAAATTTGTATAGAAAATATTTTGCTTTCAAAATAGGCCTCGCCCTCATGACACCCGCAATATCTGCAAAGATGCTGACAGGTCGAAGTGCTGCAGAGCTGTCGGCAATCCTTTAAACCTCCGCAGAACTTTGTGCGGTGTCCTGCGCAAGTTCCGGTTTCCAAATGTTCTAGCGTCAAGTTCCTGCGGAAGTTCCCATTTTTAACGAATTTTGAAAGTGAGCAAAATCTCTAAGTGATCGCTAAATCTTGACTCGTTCTATGGATGTCCCTGTGCATTGCCGACTATGAACATTTTCTCAATTGGCAGTAGTTTTTGTTACACTCTTTTTTCTAAAATGTTCTAAAAGCTTCCTAAAAATCTCAAAGCTTCAAACCTAGGAGATGACAAGATCAAATAAACGTGATCAATGCCGCAAAACACATTGCCAGCAATTATTACGAATGTTCTGCATCCAAGTAATTTTGTCTTTTTCATTTTTCCTACACTTGTTGTGCTTTTCCTCCTCTAAATTTTGGTTCTAATTTCACTATTCTCCCAGGGCGGCAGTGTGATGCCGTAGCATCTCGAAACGACAAATAGATGAAATCTCCAAAAATTTTAGCGTAGTTCGCATACAGCATGAAAAATTCTGAAATCTAAATTTCTCCCGGTTAAAAAAAAAGTTAAATGCGAATATACAACAATGTTATGGGTCAACCTAATATTTTAGGGTGAACAAATTTTTTACTGTTTATCCCCCGCCCTCCACAGACGCATCGTGAAGTGACCCTAGATCCGAACGAGTTCTTCTCTTTACTCGTTTTTCGTCGCTTATCGCTGCGGTGTTTGCTGTCTACTGTACGATGACAAGCCATTAAAGAAGAGGCCAGACATAGTGTGTCGGAGATTGGGAGAAGCAGAGTTGTCCGTCCATGTGCGTATGTGTGTGTGCGTTGAATGCTCCATAAAACTAGTTGAACGATGAATGGGATGATTCCTCGACCGAAACTCGCCCCGACGCTGTGCTGCTCGTTTTCCACCTCTTCTCCTCTCATCAAACAAAGATTCTTAGCAATCACTTTTTATTGGATCACATAAGGCACGCTTAACTTGCAGAAGATACGACACCATCACGACTAGGCGTGCAGCTAATGTTGTCCAGAAAGTGTTCATAATATGACAAGGAATCGGAACTTTCGCAAGATAAATTATCAGTCAGATCCTATATCTTTCCCAATAAGAAGACTTTAGAATTCAGGAAAAAAATTTGTTTAGAAATTTTTTGTAAATTATTAGGTTGTCCCGAAAGTTTTGTCGGTTTTTTCAAACCGCTATAAAACCACGCACAATGAAGACCTGAATGAGTTTCAACATACATTCGATGCAGCTTTTCCTTCTTATTCTTAAGGTTACATTTAGGAGCCAAGATCCTGTATGGTTATTTTGATAATTGCCACAAATTCTCACTCGTCATTTTTATCTGCTCAAAGTTAGGCTAATTTTTGAAAATTTCATACCAAAGTTTTGGAAAGGACTAAGCATGGCACAGATAGATTAATTCTCTTGCTGCACGGTAATATTTTTAGATTGTCCTAAGGTGCTGTTTCTAGCTTTGAAGAATTATTTTTTCGGAGGTCTCAATTTCTGGCAAAACCATGGAAACGTAACTGCGGCAAAAGCATGAAAGCTTTCGGAATTTTTGCGAATTGAAACTTGATTGCTGATAAACAATAATTATGCAACAAATCCAAGTTTGATTTGCTTTGAAAAATCAGCTTTTTGGAATTTTTGGTAATTTCGCGTGGTAGACGTAATCAAAAAGCCGTAGTTTTTCTAAAATGAATAATTATTTAGGACTTGATAAACGTGACCCATGTAGTCTAAAGTAAATATAATGTAGCCGAAGAATTTCTCTATATAACAGTTATTAGCGCTTTTTGAAAGTAGTAGGAGACAATTTTTTAAAATTCAGAAAAGATTTGGCGTTACTGCTGAGCTGCTCAAAAAGTCATGGCGATAACATTGCGAAGACAGGTTAGATCAGAGAACAAACATAGCTGTAAGAAAGAGGATGAAAATCTGAATCAAATGATACCTAGACCTTTCTTAAATTATTGTTCTGTAGGTTTTAGTGAGCGATGGAAAAAACCGACAAAACTTTCGGGACAACCTAATATATGGAACTCTGCTCAAGAGAAATTTGAGGAACGGGCTTTTTTTGTGGTGGTTGTAATTCACAAAAAGAAACTAAGGTTCCCCAAATCATTCAGGGAATAAGGCTTATGTAGAACATTTAATTTGATAGCCATATGCGGACTTTGAAGCTTGTGCTCTGCTACTCAGGTGAATTGCCGGAACTTCCGCAGAGCAAAAACTGATAAAGGTTTCGAGACAAGACAACAAGGATTGGCGTAATGAGCGGTGGAAAAAACTGTCATCTTACAAAATGCAGACCAAGGTGAAAAGATGTACAAAATTTTAAAAGATGTGGAATTGTGAAGAGTTACCTTGAATGAATGTTTGAAATATTGTATGGGGGTGTTTAACATATTTAGTCATTGATTTGAAAGTACTGTGGGCTGAGAAGTCATAAAATCATCAGATTATGAAAGGATTACTAAACAATATAGCGACAAACACTTGTGAATAACGGTATTCGCGCTTAACGTCTTTTTCGCTCAAATCGGATGTGATAAGATGACCATAGAGAATGTGAAGTAAGGCAACTTCCGTTAAATAAGTCCTATTTTTGTAGCCAGCTGCAGCAGATAATGAAATGCTGAAGCTTGTGTTGAAACGACAAAAAAAACAAGTTACATATCAGACTCTAGATTACCTCAGTTGTGCACATATTCTCAGTGCTTTGAAGTATGATTAGCTGCAAAAAAAAGAATTCTACGAAAACTATGTAGCCACCAAAAATATTTTCACCATCAAAGCATTGAGAGGTGACTTGAACGTATTTTACTGTTCAAGATCTTAAAAAAAGGTAAAATAGAAAGGAGCAAATGCATCAGGCGCCACTTCACTTGTAAAGGTTGAAGATTAACCATCATTGTGATGGTTATTCGTTTTTCTAACAACGCGTCGAACTCAGTCAAAGCAAATCTTACAAGGTTTTTTTATCCATAAATTGATAACTGGATTAGTCAGGCAAAATTTGCCAAATCGTCGTGGTTGTGCAAATTCTATTCTACTAAACAAGAGAGTCCTGAGTGTTTCGACCGAAATGAGCATACCATAACATTTTATTTTGTTGGCAATGAATTTGCTTTCAAAGACTTATGTTTCGAGCATGACGCACGTCCAGTCCCGTCCAGTGTTTTGCAATCTATGTGCTTCAAAGCAAATACAAGTTTCGCTATCTCGTAAAAAATTCAAACAAATGCAGAAAATCTATTTTTGAGCATACTGCAAATAAACCCATTTTTGAGGACAACAAACAATAATATTTATTCTTGACCCAGCACCACTGATTCCGGTCAGTCATAAGGTAGTAAATAGTTGGCTTGGATCGGGGATGGTGATAATAAATCACTGCGTTGTTATAGCGCTTTCGTGCACCATTCTCTCTCCCCCCCCCCCCTCACCATTATTTCGCCAACCAATTACACTAAAGCTATCCAAACAGACCGCTAGACTTTACATTTATAGCAAGTTCTGAATCAAGGCTCGCCACGGAGAGGAATATTGCACCTTTAATAAACTAGTGTTTTTACATCACAGAAAGTTGACTTTCTTAATTTTTATCTGAGGCGTCAGGACGCTGTACTTATCGATTAGAGCGCGTCTTTTTTTACTAGGTGAAAGCTTGGCTACTCTGATCGCTCTTTGTAATATATATTTCTACATACAAAATAGAACAAGAAAGCTGTTTTCAATCATATAAAAATAGCAAGGGCCAGACTAGATCGGCCTACGTAATCTTTGTCTAATTTCCGTATAGTGGTAAGAAAGAAACGAAATCAGAAATTTATTTGTTTTTTAGTATAGCGGCCACAGCCAGGGTTCATATTGAAATGAGTCAGTCGTATATATACATATTTGTGTTGTAGATAGTTCATAACTAGTTTACAATCCTTTCTGCGCGTATTCGCCAAATTTGGCTCCTGCGTTGTAAACACATTGCCTGCCTACTATACTGCACAAAATTTTCCATTTTTGGTAGCTTGCAAGTTTTTGCAAAGTCATACTTTTGCATTAGCTAGGAAAGAGCAACAAATGGTATACAAATGATATGTACAACTCTGAATTTACCACTGCGTTTTGGGGTTCCGCTAAGGGACAACTATTTGAGTACTTTTCACCTCTTCGCACCCGTAAATGCCTGAAACAAGAAATAAAAGCAAATTCCTCGACCTGCAATCTGTTGTTGCAGAAGCGGCATGCCACACATTTTGTGCGGTACACACAATGCGTTCAGTTACACGGGTGCCAACGCCGTGCCAGCCTAACGAGGACGCAACCGTCTTGATTGATCGACGGTGCTGGCAGGCTCGACGTTTGCATGAGCAACTTTAAGCGCCTTACAGATGAGTTTATTTCAAATCTAGCAATTGACTAAGGCCTTTCAAGCCAAGCAATTCATATTCTGTAGTTTTCCGCGTATTCTTATGCAAAGTGCTAACAACAAAGTTCTTCTGCTCAGAAGAGGATGCACTTCTTTCTCACGGATATTCTAGAACCCAAAGAATTGCCCATTGAAAGCGACATCTCCTCGGCGTGAACAATGAACCGGCGGCCCTATGTAATGAGCTGATATGGTGTTCATGAATAGTCGTTCCCGTGCGTCAGACAGCGCAGTTACCGTAGTTTGTTAGCAATGCGCCGGCTGGCCAGCATAGTTGACGCGATTGATTGCAGACTGCGGCGGCGGGGTGGCAGCAAAAGAGCCAACATCGCCTGGCTATTCAGACAACACACACATTCGTCTGTTTATGCAGAAAATTTTGGGCAAAGACCGTTGACAAAGGTGTGGTAGATGAAGACTGGCGAAATGATGGTGCGGGGTGGGGAGAGGACGGAAGGGAGAAGTGACGGTGGCAGTGAAATGCAGAAAAGACTGGAACTTCACCGAATTTGTTTGAAAAAACTTCAAGGTACCAAGTATCCCGCAATGTTTAGAGGTAATGAGAGTATTTCGTCAATCTATGAAGCTCTTAAAAACTGCCGAATAGTCCAACAATTCCTCGCAACTTTCATCTTATCTGCTTCCTCCTCTCAGCCCCCCCCCCCACCCCCACCACGTTCTCGCAAGTGTTCCAAATCTTGCGAAATTTTATCTTATGTTACTATATACGTTCAAGAAATGGTGTATTTTCAACCATTCATGGATAGACTCGAGAGTCCACTCAACATTCAAAACATTGATTTTTACTTTCCGAAGGTTATTCGCATGGAAAAAGTTACGACAGTTTTTATCCATATCAGAAGACTTAGTGACGGATGAGATTTTTCCTAAGGGCATTTTTTAAACCCTTGAGTTCAAATTTTGGAATTAAGCGCAACAGTAGGAAGATCATTGTATTTCTTAGGATAGGTAGTTTTTGGGGAATCTCGATTTGCTTGCCTTCTTTCAGATCCTCCTAGTCCAAAGCAACTTCAGAATTATTTTGACTAAAAAGAGTTTTGGAGAAGTTTTTGGGATGGCGCAGGGAGGAAGGATAAAGCAGGAAATGCATGTATGTTACATTTCGACGGAACGTTACATTGAGCATCAAATTTGATGAGTCCAACTGGGGAATAGCTTTTTTATTGGTCAGGTAAGATTTGATGCTTGAGTTAGTTTGAGAAAGAGATGGAGGCGGGTTGGAAAAAAATTTGTAAGTAGAATCTCCATCGGAAAAAAACAGACGATGATATCGATGTTTTTGTACTCAGCTCAAAGTAAACTGGCTAATTCCTATCTAGTCTTCTCTCCCTTTTTGATTTGCCCCCCCCCTTCAATTTGTCTCCCCGCCCCTATTCGAGGATGTGGCGTCTGTCAATTCAAGAATATTCGTAAGGCATTTTTGCTTACAGAAATTATTCTAGTCAGCGATTCGGCGCTTCTCTAAGAAAAATCGATAGCGAAATATTCTGCGCAGTTTCTCGATATGGTATCGGAGACCAATTCAGATGCAAACAAAACGAAAGTAACGTCGACACGAAGAGTCGTCGTCAGCATCAGCAGCAGCAGCATCCAGGCAGCGGAGCGAAAGAAGAATGTGCCATGCATTCGTTTAGTGCTGGTGGTGTAGCCCCCCCCCCCGTGCATGTTCGTAGGGGAGCCCCCGAAGCCCCTGTAATCACACGCGTATACAGTATGACTGACGAGAAGACTGGCCATAAATGTCGACAATATTTAATCCATAAACGTGGTGGCACATATTCGAGAAGCAGCGATGCCCACACACTCTTAAACACATCTATAACTCTATGCAGAACAGTAGCATTAGAAGAGCTGATTTTGTATGTGCTGTGATTGTTTCCGAGAAAAATATGGGCCAATTTATGAGCGTATGAAAATTCGAGATTTTGTTGAGCTTTATTGCTTGCTTCGATAGCGTTTTGTTACCTGATTATGATGGCTATAAAAATTTGCTTCGCGAAGATGTTAGGGCTTGTTAAAGCTAAGACAAGCTATTGTATTAAGCTGGCAAGAATGTTCTTACTCCTGATTTCACGGATTTTTTGGTCTAGATTGAGTATCCAGTAGGACATGAGGCACACGACCTTAAAGATGAAAGCAAGTACAAAAAGGTACCCAGTATGGGCATAATCAACGAAAATAGAAGCTGAAATTCGTAAGTTTATTTTGTCCACACTCAATTCACCTTCCGTAAATGGTATCCTCCTTCATGTTCCCAAATAAAATGAACGACCACAATACATTGTACATGCTTGTGATATCTGCGTTTGAAAAACAAGAAAAACGAGGCAATTACAAATTGGCAAACTCCGCCCCCTTTCCAAGCTCCTTCCACATGCTCCTATTCAGTTGTACACCTTCCCTAAATGATTAACTCCCCAGGCTCCAATATGTAGCAGATATCACATATACGCTAATATGCGCTCAATGACTTACTTTGGAAAAAAAGAAGAAAAACGAGGGTATCAAAAGTAGCAAGCTCCGCCCTTTGAGTGGACTCCTCCTACATCGCGTACTAGTACCTCAGAAATAAGATTTTAACTCAGAGTTGTTTTGCAAGCTTTATATCAGCTTAGCTTTCGCTACTTTTCACGGGTTCACGAAGATTAATGATAAATTTATCTCCCCTTCCTTCCTCCCCCCCCCCGAAATTGCCAAATATGTGCTATCGGTGAGCGAGTGTGCCAGCACTGCAGCAGCGGTTCGTTCGACGTCGTCCGCTCATTTCGTTTCGGCCCGCCTTTCGACTACACTGGCTTCTATTCAACTACTGGGAGACTGCCGCCACGAAGTTTTTTCGCTCTCCCCGCTCCCCCACTCGCTCCTTTCGGCAACCATCCGCACTTTCCCGCATACGATTACCTATGTGCGTTCTTCTATCTGATCGTCTTTCTTTCACCTACACCCACACGGTGGTGTGTCCATCAGCGCACTTTGCATACACTTCAGTATCTAAAATGCAGTGCCGACAATCGACAAGTGTGTGCTTTCGAGAAAGTTCAGCGCAAGGTTTTTCTCTATGCGTTTCAGTCGTCTGGGAGTACTGTAGGGCAGTGTTAGATGCGCATCTTGCAAGTTTTTTTGACTCTTATCAAGAGGTGAGACTCAACTTTTCTTCACTGAGACTTTGAGGATGCTGCATTTCGGCGGGATTTTTACATTGACATTCGCAGACTTGCATCTTTTGATTCCCAGAACTGCTGACTCGTTAATATGTGAGTAAAATCCCCAATAAACACTTCGGTAGCGCTTTTTATCTATTTTCTCTCCTAAAACTAGCGCAGGACAGGTCCTACTCCGTCTTTGGTAAATTTGAAGATCTTTAACTAATAAGGCCATTCGATATGTTGCAGCTCATCTTAGGCTATACACGCCACTATGTTTCGTCTCTAAATTTATTATTAGTAAATTTCGCATCGTAACTTCTGTACGGCCTAACTTTCATCACTTCTGCTATCCCTACTTTGGTGAACGGACAGTACTCCCGCATTTTTAGAAGTAAAATAAATTTTTTTTTATTGCTAGAAATTTTCGTAAAATTTTATTTCTTTAAAAAGTGGCAAATACCTGTACGGTAGTTGCATTGTGGTTTCTATGCTTCTTGGCTTATTTTGAAGAGCTGTACTTTACAATCTAAGCTTCGTGCGAGTATATAATCATTTTTGTTGGACAAGGATTTTTCGAAAGAGCGCTGATGACATTATCAAAAAAAGCAGTTGAGTCAGGTAAGTGCTAAGTTATTGTATTTGATATGGTTTTTCGTTTAAATGGTCCTCAAAATAATGTGGTTGCAAATTTAGGTGTTCTCATTCTGGGCATTTTAAAGTATGCATAAGTTTGTAAAGACAGCTATTTAGCCTAACTTCTCACCTTGCTTCTCTCCCTCTATCATCACATCAACTCCCCAACTTCAAGGCTACCTTTCTTTCAGTCCAAGTCATTTCGTTATTTCAAGAGCAAACATACAAATTCTACGAACCTCGACGCTGACAACGACGACCTTCTCCGTTTCCGGCTAGCCCTAGCTCTCCCCATCACTTACGATTCCGTCACTTTCTCCACCGCTAGAGTAACCACGCACATTTATGACCTTTACGAGAAATTAAGGCTTTAGGACCAATGGTCCGCTAGCAATCGGGCCCGTTAACACATAACCACATGCAGCTGTCCTAGGGACAGCTGCCGCTTGTGATAACTGCACGGATATTGGTGGCAATTTCGTGACGAGTTTTGGTCGAGGTCGAAATTGATGGGGGAGCAAACGTTCTCGATGTCGTCGGGAAAAGATGCGACGGTTGTGATCGATAGTGCAAGCAAGGTGAGGGGATAGTGATGGGGAGGGGGGGGGGGAATTTTGGGGAGATTTGTGTGAACTTCAGGGAGTTTGGGAAGGGAGGGAAGGGAGGGAAGGGAGGGAAGGGGAGAAGGGTAAAAATGGGGCAGAGAGTAGCAGAAGCGTAGGAGAACGTACCTTACTCAGGAAGGAAGAGAAGATTGGGGAGGAAATACGATGAGAATGGGAAGAAATTTGAAAGAAATTTCTGGAATAACCATTACTACCCTAATTAAAGGACGCGACTTACAGTAATTACGTTACTGACAGTGCCGCGGCAAGGAGCCAAATTTTATCTCCCCCTCCCCCCGTCCTCGGCTCACCTCTAAATGCCGCGTGTCATAAACAGACAAATGATGACAAAAGGATCGGCCCTTTACATGATTTCGGACTTGAAAGCCGCTCGCCATTGTTCGAAAATGTCCTGGGAAACCCGCTGAGGGGCCCCGCCGATCCGCTCTCTCATGCCTTTTAGAATTTGTAGGAGAACTGAACTTACGCAGATGGGTCTTGTGTGGAAAATCTGGAGCTTGAGCAGCGTGATGAATAGCGAAGCAGGCGAACCTGTGTCGGATGGAAGACGCAACCACACATAAGGGAGGGAAATTTACGGAGGCGTGGCCGTATACGGGTTATTCATAAGTTTTCACGATGCATTCCATCACCAGGGTGCCTTCGATTTGCCTTTTACAATTGCCGAAAATGCGATGGAGGCAGCGGGCGATGCAGAAAAATGCGATGGGGGCTTTCCTAGAAGATACGGGAGTTTTGAGTTTTGTCCTGGATTGATTGATCCCCATTAGGTTTAGTTTGTCGGGATTTCCCGAAGCCATTGACCCAGGCTGAGTCTTGCGCATCTCATTCCGCGCGGTATGAACTCGTACAAAAAACCCCGCGAGCAGTTCACCCCCCGTCCAATCCCCGCGACTGTCTCTACTTCCCCCCGTCCTCCGAACTACCGTAATGTAGTGTCGGGGCTGAGTGTGTGTGGTGTCAGTGAGTGGAACGAACATCCACTGCCGGTCGCGGCTCGCTCGGCGCCCGCCTCAGCACCAATCACCGCCTGGCCCCGCCCACCGCGGGTGTGTCCGAGTTAGACGGTCCGAGAAGAGCACTGGAGATGCAGAGACGGCCGAGATGTCCACGACCGGCGAACACACAAGTGAGAGAGAGATAGTCCATGTGGGCTGTGGGGGCTCTGTCAATGCTTCACATACACACACTCAGCACATAGGACTCACTCATTTGTGTGGTGTGTGCGTGTGTGTGTGAGTGGCGCCCCGCTTAGGCGATTACGGTAGCTGCAAAGCTGTTAGTGTTGTAGATTCCTTATAAGTTGTACACTCTTGTATTGTCTCATACTTCTACTCGTGCATTACAATATCTAGCAATTGTCTCACTTCGAAAACAAACAGTATTCGGACAACTGGCACTATACTTCCCGAATTTGCAAAATGTAGTTAAGGAAACTTTAATAAGAAGCACTTTCCACCTTGTCTTCCATTGTGTGCATTCACAAAAAGAATAATCCAAAGGGATAAAACTGACTTCAAAACAGCCAAAATTGGGCTTGCTATGACTACTTTAATTTTTGATTTTATTTTTATTTCCCTATGTTCAATTTTGCAAAGGACTACAATGAGTAAACAAGGTGACTTATAGGGTAATTGGTACAGAATTTCTTTTACTTTCTGCTGATTTTAATCGTCTACTCCTTGATCGTGGTAAATTATCCAAAAATTCTTCTTCTCTCCTCCCCATTCCCTTGACTCCTCTCCTCTTTCTTTTGTGAACCAGAATTTTCATGTGGTATGGTTGGCGAAATGACCAACTTTACCTGGAACAGATAGAAATCTTGAGAATTCCGTATTACTTTTAGGTTTCCTTCTAGAATGTGCTATGTAGTATCCTGTTCTATATTTTTTAGTAAGGTTAGTTCTAATACATTTGGAATCGGAATGTTTAGCGATTAGCTTAAAATAACTATTTTTTATAGCGTTATATATTATTTTTGGTTTCATAAAGTTGATGAAGACGCAAAAATTATTGGTATGACCCGAAAAAAGAGAATTTATGTATTTTTCGCCTTTCTAACCTCATCAAATGGTTTTTGTGGCTAAAAAATTTTCAGTGTCTGTTCAAAACAATTAGAATATTAGGTTCAAAATTTTCAAATGTTTTTTCAATTCAAAATATTATGGAAATTCAAAAATTATAGAAGTGATCTGAAAAAGAGATACTAAGGTATTGTTCGTTTCCATAACCTATCAAATGGTTTTAGTGCCTGAGCAATTTTCAAGTATCTGTTCAATTCCACCAAGTTTGTTCCCCTTTCCATTCTCTCTGTCTCCATCATCTTCCACCTCGTGATGATGTATAAAACGACATGTATTCACAGCTGTTCTAGAACATAAAAACAGTCTTACTGTACTGTCAACTAGTTTGATGTGCTAAACGGCGAAAAACTTGTTCACATAGTGACTTTTCGCCGACTGTAATCAACCACATAACGTTGTCGTTGTACTGTTCAAATAGTCTTCTAGATGGAGGTGCCAGGTTTTGTAAAGATGACTGCCAGTCATAGAAAATTGAGGGAGCGGAAGAGGGAGGGGCGGGGAAAGGGTTTCATGTTACAAAATGATTTATTAGGGGCAACAGTAAAAAACTTTGAGCTTTGTGTATTACTTATCTATCTAAGGTGGAACAAATATGGCTAAACTAAATTTTCTATATTTTTTTGGCCATCTTCTTTTTCCTAAAATGCAGAATTCATGCCTTGATTTGGAGAAGTTTGTGCACTATATATGTACAAGATTATTAAACCCTTGGAACTACAATCTTGAAGGCTAAAAAAAATTAAAATAAAATATTTTTCCACTCTCCTAGCCAGGTTCAATAGATTTATCTTTTCAAGGTAAGACAGTTATGTCATCAACACAACTTATCAATTTGATACATTCTATTTCCTTTGAATCTCAAAGAAAAGGTTTTGCTTAGGTGGGGCCATTGGCTCTGGGGAAAAGTCTAATGAAGTCGTTTTTTTCTTTGCTTGATTTGTGCATTTTTTGCCTATCTTGCGAATACATTGCTTTCTCCCCCTTCTCTGTGCAATTTCAAATAGTTTCTTCTATGTAAACATTTTGTAAATTGTCAAAACGAGTTATTTAGTCTCCTAACTACATCTCCAGCAATATTATTTTGGCGTTGATGCTGTGACAAATGCATGCGATAAATAACTATGACGTTTGCTGGTTCAAATTTGCTGTGCTCGGGGGTGACAGTATTCTTTTCTGCGTAAATATTCAGAATTCGAAAGTTGAATGAAAAATTGTATTTCAAACCTTTATCAGCGATGATTTTTTCTTTTCTGCAAAGGATAGTCAGTATGAAAATTGCAATATTTCCAAAAAGTGGGCCCTATCTCGTATTCCATATATCACCTTATAATTATAATTTAGTTATTCACAATTAAACAGTTTTCTCTAGAATGCTTGCAGTGTAGCCAGAACATCTTGCATGATAATGATGGACTATATTTGCTAAAAATAAATGATTAGACCAAGATTTTTGGGTTGCAGTCAAAATAAATAAAATTAAGAAGATACCAAGGTCCTGAAGAAAAGTTGGGAAGGCTTGCTCAGGTGCCCTCAGTTCTAACGGTTTACCTCTAGTTTGATAACTGACCTAAATTTCAATCTAAATATACGGAGGTGAATGATACAAGGGCTTATAGTGCAAGGAGCACCAGATTTTTTGTTTCTGATTGCTTAGGGAAGAACATTTGTCACTTCCGCTCATGCAAATGTAAAAAAGCTTTTAGTATAGATGTCAGCATAGAGTTAGTGAATGTTCACTTTGATGACTAAAGTCTAGAGTGACTAAAGTGCTATGTCTCAACTAATACATTCTGAAAGCAGTGAGACTATCCATTAGCTATAGAGGCTTCGAACACAAGTTGTAAGATGTTTATAGAATCATCGCTCTAGCGAAAGCAACGCATCAATCGTCGACTCTAGCTCTGACGTGTATAGCGTGCACTTAGTGCATAACCACTCTGTTCCCCCGTCTTCTTCTCTACTCCCCCCCCCCGGTCTCCCCCCGCCATCTTAGCAACATACACCAGCTATGTAGTGTGTGTCTGTAATAATGGCACTCAAGACGACGACGAACGAAGCGCAAAAAGAAAAGTTTTATCAGTGAGTCCGATCACTTTGCGCTTCATCGTCGAGACGGGCTGACGCGACACTCAGCCACTTCCAATCTGTGTTCCCGTTCGTTCAATGTTCGTTTTGCTTTCATATATGACAACATTCGAGACAGAGATGTATAATGTTCAAGAGCAGGAGAGAGAGACACGACTGCTGAGACAGTCAGTATAGTCAGCGTTTCTAAGTGACAGTCACTTCTCTTGTTCGTCGCCTTTATGTCGCCAACTTTCTCGAACTTCCCCCGACTTTTAAGCGCACTTTTCTCGTATTTTTGCACCTACTAAGATCCCATCCCTTATAAGGTCCGTGACCATCTGCCCATCTTCTTCGGATAGTCCATTCGCTGTCTCTCTCACTCACTACTCTCTAGCTCAGATTCTGAATCATACGATGCTCATATTGTTCTCTCGTGCCGGCGTCTAGAGTGGTCAGTAACGCTTAGTTACTATTTAGCATCCTTGTCAGTCACTTTGAGCAACTTGCTATCCATTATTGTTTCATTTTTCAAAATTTGAAGAAGTAAATTTGCTCAGAAAATGAATGAAATGAGGAGGAGGTTGGAACAAAAGGTTCAAACATGTTGTTAAGCCATTTTTTTACTTTTTGAAATTGTAAATTTGCTTAGAAAACGAATAAGATGAAGAGGAGCTGGAAACGAAAGGTTCAAAATTGTTATGTCAACTGAATTTGCGTTTTAAAAATGAACTGGGAGTACGAAGGGCGGTTTATGGCGATACGGAATTTTGGTTACTCTATGTTTTAAGTTGGTCCTGAAAAGATTTCTTAACCAAGTATTAGCAATTACTTGAATATTCATTCAAATCTGCATCACTCCACTCAATTTCTACCGTTCAAACTATAAAATTTAGTTGAAAAGGCCAGTCGTCCCCAATTCTGAATGAAAAATGGAAAACTGAATCTAGCATTTAAGTCGGATTTCGAGATGAACCAGATTTTACATTTATTGCGATTACTATTTTTCCTAGACGAATTTCTTTGGAGATTTTTACCTGGATGAGAAGTGTTTCTGTGATATAAATGACAACAGTTTCTATTGCTTTTTCTGATTCTGCTGTCCAAAAGTGGTTGACTATTTTTTAGCACTGTTCTTATTTATTCCCAAATCTGGGAATTTTCACCATTTTGCAACATTTTTAAATTAATAATGGTGCCGGACTCTTCCAATATGAAGTTTGGTCCGGACACATTCGGCAATCATTTCTCCATCTTAAAATTTCCTCAAATGCCACACATTCTTCGGCCAACATGACTCTTCATTTTCTCGAACTGCACTAAGTGTCATTTGTTTTCACTTTTCAACTATAAATAGCAACAATGTTTGCTCTGTGCACATACCAATAACTCTGCATTTTGTTGCTCTTTTAATGGTGCAATTTTGCGTCTATCTCGATGTTATGTCTCCACACTGTGGACTAGTCACCAAATTAGACTACTGTGCGGAATGAATATAGAGCTACGTACATTTCCAAAGTTTGCGTGGTCCTGCAACGACTGAGTCTACTGTGACTGACTAAGTTTATTGATTTAGAGTAAATGGACACAACCGAGAAAGCCAGACTCCCGGGTGTGTTCCCATTTCCATTCTGTGTTCCATCATCATCGCCATCGTCGGTATTCCCGTCACTGCCGATGTTCCCGCCAGGATTCCAACAATTGTATGCAAATCTCGTACAGCAACAGTTTTTACAGCTAGCCCAACAGCAACAGAGCCCTGGAATACGGGCAGGTATGGGCAAATTTACACTAAGCTTTACCCAAGGGTAAGGTTGAAAAGTTTTTAATTTTAGATCAGTCTCCATGTCTTTCCGATCATGCCTCATCACGAGAAGATTCCCCATCAGTGAAAAGTGAGTCCTTTTACCCATATATGAATCTGCCCAACAGCGGGTAAATGAACTTTACTCCAAAATAGAAAACACTTGTTACCAGCAATGACTCATCTGGTCGTCGACTAGTCAACATTCACCTCATTGGTATTTTGCGAAAGCAGAGAGCTCTCTTTCTTTCTTCTTCAGTTAGCCTAGTGTCTCCTTCTCGTCGAGCCCTATGTGCTTACGATTACGATGAATGTCAAACGCATTTAGACATTTGAAGTAGTTGTGCTCGACGCAGGGATGAGTAAGTGGGAGAGTTAAAAGGGTAAATAGTTGGTAGCTGTCAAGGATTTTGGGTTAGTGGGATTGCAAGCGAATAGCAATAATCAACTTCATGCCTAATTTTTGAACAGCCGGAAATGCTCAGTTTAATAAGATATTTATCGAGACTTACCATTCACCCGTCATCTGCACAGTCGGTTTTCTTTTCGAGAAATATTGGTCAGCTTTGAAACTCAAAATTTTCAGCTTACATTTACATTCAAGAAACGATGTGAAGCAAGTAGCGGGAGGGGAGTTTTCAATCAGAAAGTGATAATGTGATTACTATGAAATTTTTTATATAGCCGATAGTCCTGGAGCTTTTTTATAAGATGCCAGAAATTCTTTTGAGAACTTATAATTTCCAGCTACATGATTGCAGCATAAGAACCGTTAAATAGTTTAAAAGCATTTTTTTTTCGAATTTTGGAGACAGTTTTGTTTTGCGTAGTCATGATAAGATAGAGCCAGTTTCATAGTTTTTGGCTCTTGGCACCTTGATTTTTTTTGAGCCCGTATCTCTTGGCACCTTAATTTTTTCAATCTAAAAGCTTCTTTTTTCGTGGGTATGAAAAATACGTAATTACTCAGTAAATTTTGAGCTCATTTCTCCCTAGCCTAATTTTTTTCTATCCAATGTGAGCTACATACCTATTTCGTAACACATAAGTCCATAAGTTATTTCTCTCTCAGAAATTCTTTTGATATAAAGGAAAACGCTGAGGTTGTTGACCATGCTTAACACAAACCTTACAAAGTGCAGAAAGCCTCATTGTACCAGGGTACAAGCTCTGCTCCTTCTGTTCAAAAGCTCATTTTCTTCCACCTTCTTGCAATTTTGATGATGCATCCATAGCTGACATCACCTATTAAGTTACAGTATGACTATGTGTCTAGTGGCTGACTCCATCTATTCTTCACATTTCAATAAGGGGAAAGAGTTCCCACGAACATGCTCTTGACTTTTGCATGATTCACAGATGACTTGACGATGTGTGACCGGGATCGGGGGGGGGGGGTTTCTTTCTAAAGAAAGAGGTTAGCAAGTAACCACTTAGACTTGGCTAATTCCGTATAGCAGCAGGCAGCAAACTCGAATTTCTTGAACAAAAAAGCTATTCTCGACTTTCCCAGTGTACTCTATCAACTGGCAACATTGCCCTTTCTTTTTCTATTCTTTTGCTGATAGCTGGGTCAAAACACCACTTTCTCACTCTCCCACTACTCTTCACCCTAGCGCTCAGCAGCTCGCTCTTTGAAACAATGCCGCTGTTCGTTAGCATTGCGTTTTTTGTGCGTTGAACTAAGCACAGACAGACTCAACGCTTGAAACTCACGGCATGAGTTCCAGAAAAATACGAGAGAGCTGTTTGAATTAGTTTTCAGTGCGAGGCTGTCTGAGTAACGGGGAGGCAGGGAGGGGGGGGGGGTGGAAGGAAAAAGTTACAGAATAAAACCCTGAAGGAAGGGTTTTGAGTCTTAGATACTGGTATTAATCAACAAAAATTTGTGCAATTTTTGTTATTCACCTTATTTCATGGACTTGGAAACAGTAGAAATTAGCTCACAAGATTTGAAAAACTAACATAATTTATCTTTCACCTCTTATCGCTAGTGGTTTCTCTTGAAATCCTTGATATTTCCCTCCAGTTATTTTCCCGCTTTGAGCAGCTTTTACACCACAAAAAGCATAATTTTTATGAATGCCATAACTAAAAGATAAACTATGGCTAGGGATCTGTAGGAATGTGCTTAGCAATTTTTGGAGGGCATCTAGAGTTTAAATTTTTAATCTTCAAAAGCATCTTTAAAAAACACTCAAAATACATACACATCTAATATGAAAAAAATCTATTTAGAACGGAAAAGCTTCGGTATCGAAAGCCACAGTGATTAATGTTCATCGACAAATGAGTGCATACATTATTAAAAGAATCTTAATGATTTGAATCGGATATGGGACTTACTAGCACACATGAAAAACAGCAACTTGATGTGGACCAATACTTTACCAAAAGTAGGTTCAAGAAGCGGTAGGGTGGGGGGGGGGGGAATATAGAATTGGCTGGTAGCTTGGATACTGTTGAAATCCCTTCTTTTGGATAGCTCCTTATACTGTATCTAGTCGCTCTCGTGTTAGCAATTGTGTAATTACACTACTTTTTGCCTGCTCTGACAAGTCGATGACTTCATAATACGCGCTCCTTTTCTCTTCATGATCATTTTTCATAAAGACTTTCCGCTTTATATGATTTTTGTAACCATGGTAGTACTCCAATGCCACCGAGCTGCTAAGTGTGGTGCAATTGCACCAAGTAGTAGTATGAAACAGTGGTAATAGTTGCGCCAATTAATAGGCTGTTTAAGAACCCAGCTATGATGAAAGCTGCATACTTTCTCCTCCAAAATTTTCACTCTATCTTCCCTCTTCCCTCCCCCCTTCAAGACTTGCACTCGATCATGACTAAAATGCCGGATTTGAACGCGCAAGCGCGTGCAACTAACCTGTGTCTGTGTATGTGTGTGCATACGGAGTGATTACGGTAAGGCTCATTAAGGTTTGTTGGTGTTTAGGCAGGCGCACATAGCGCGCGCTTGAACACACGACGACATCGTCGTCGTAGGACATCGTCGCGACAGTCACGTCGTCGTGATTTATGATGCGCAACACCGGAAGTTCACGTACACATACGGATGGTACGTACATACGTACATGACATACACGATTGTATGAGCGTGTGCGTGTGCGGACGCTCAGGCATGAAATCGAATCACATAAGCGCGGTGTGTGACGACGCTCATTAGATGAGTTTGAAAATGGACCGTAGAGTGAGATATGGTGTGGGACCATTATTTGCGCTGTTTGGGACAGCTCCGCCCACCAGTTCGTACAGTTCTCTACGCTCCAAATTCTTATAACTCATCCTTGCCTTTCACACGGTCATCTGAACAACAGCAAGTCTAACCCTGAAGACAATTTTATGGTCCGTGGGAGTAACATACACGGGCGCGCGTATCTGTGTGGGTGTTTGAACTCGTATGTATGGTACGAAGCGATTGTGGTCTGTTCTACGGCTAGTGAACGGAACAATGACAGATTACGACTTTGTACGACTTTTGTGGGAAAGTCAGAGAGTGCTTGGGGTGGGGAGAGGTGACGGGTGGGAAAGACGGTGCAGGCTGGCGCTGAGGTGTAATCGTGTGGGGGTAAGAATGTGGTGGAGGTCCCTTGGCTTGTGAATTGTTCTTTATGGCATAGGGTGAACTGGGATGTGGTATACGGTACCTCATATGCGTGAAATAGCTCTGGAAATTTGCCAAAAGATTCCTGGTCCCTGCAAGTCTCAGACTGCCTGGGGCATGATATGGGAGTGAGAAGGCGGTGGAGGTGCAGGCCCGAGGTTTTTGTGGGTTGTTCTGTGGATTATGGGATAAACTGGAAGATGGGATACGGTACCTCTCAGACTTCTCGGACCTTCACCACAAACTTCCGCTCCAGATCTCCAAGTCTGTCGAACCACCGGATGTCTTTCTTCCAACACACTAAAAAGCACTTACTACCCGACGAGGTCATTTCGGCTACCATATTCCGTCGTCGGCACACATACTCGCACACATGCACACAAGACTAGTGCAAGTTTTTCTACATATAGTACATACATCGAGGTCGTCATATAATCCCATTCATAACGACTAGGACGTCAAGGAGGAGGGGGGGGGGGTGGAGGCGGTGGCGAAGGCGGTGGAGGTTGTGAAGGCGGTGGTGGTAGTTGCGGCGAATAACTCATTCGGCTATTTGCTGATGATTTCCGCTCCACAGATGCGCAACGCAGAAGTGCTTTGCAGAGCAAGAGAATGTGCATAAGTGCGTCGTCGTCGTGTGTGCAACGATGCGTAACGTAACGTGCATACGCACTACGAATAAACGATTTTTCGAGGTGTGTTGGTTCGTACAGTATTCGGACGAGTTCGCGGATGCTCATCAGTTACGTGGCAATGGAGGGAGTGTGAGGTATGTGTGAGTGAGGAGGAACGGAAACGATTTGTAACCTAGATTGGGTAGGTTCCGGTTCCGGCACACTATACGCCTTAGTGCCTCGCACTCTTACTTGGCATAGGGGGCAAAAAAATCGACGTCAACTCTTCCTCACTCACTGTGTCAATCGATGCAAAAAAAGTGCTTGACTGCATTGTTATCGCTACAGAGTATCGATGACAAGTGTGGTTTTATGTGTCATCACCTGCTCTGTCGAACAAAAGCGATGCGCGTCAAGTGCTCTCACACACATTCAACCCCCCCCCCCCCCATAGTCTTCTCCCCGTACCATGCAGCTGGCTATGTTGCGTAATCCTTACATGGATCCTAGTGTTCATGACACTAACAAGACTAACAACCATGTCATTCCCTTGTCATACCAGGGACTATTTTGAGGGACCATTTTCCCAGCTAAGAACAACCGGGGAAAACAGCTAGTTTTCAGCCGGGTTTTGGCGCAATTTGACGCCTAGTGGATCGTTAAACGTTCGACCAGCTTCAAACGTACCGCCACACGAATGTGATAGAGCGCAAATTGGATGTGCTACCTGGCAAGGTCGGCTGCTCTTAGAAGCGGCAAATCGAACCGGACTCTAAAGAAGACGTTACCGCAACATACAAGACATGTGTTGTCATCTTGTTTTGAATCATTTGGGAGTTTGTGTGGGAAGTTGGAAAAAGAAGAAGGAAATTAATTAATGGCTGAAAAAAAGAGCTAAAAATAACTAGATTATTGCGGCGGCACAAAGTTTTTGTTCGAAGAGTTGTAGATCAAAAATTTAAATTCTAGGACTTCCGACTAATCAAAAAGGATCCTACACTCGAAGATGCATAAGAAAACAGCGCCAACCGCGCATTTGTCAGTTATAGCTACCCTCCAATTTTTTATTAATAGGGCCAGAAAAATTAGACAATTAGTAACTTGTAAGCCTAGTAGAGCCTAAAATCAATTTTTCATCATAAATCGTTCATTTTCGTAAATTATTTTGAAGCTGTAGCAGCACTTCTAGTCCTAGCACAGCCAGATGCTCCATATCCAAGCTCATATCTTCCATCCATCCCAGGGGATCAGCTAGGTCGGTCGACATCAAACACAAAGTTTTCCATTAGCCGCGCGCGAAGCCGTCGATGTCCGCGCTTTCGTTTTATTTACGACTCCCGGCATCGAGTGTTTTATTAGTGGACTGGGAGGCGCAAGAATTATGACTGTTTGTCTTACCCTGATTTCTTACCCCAAAGAGACTTCCTCACTTCCATATAGAAGCGCGGCTTCTCCCGAAGTGCTAGACGCGCGTCAAAGAAGTGAGATAAATGAATTTTGACTCGTGGAATCAAGACGTGGAGAAGTCAGGGACTTGCTGAGGTTTGGTGGGAGATGAAATTAGGAATATTGGTTTAAGTTAAAGCTGTGAGCGTTCATAGGGAGGTTTAGATGTTATCCTAGAGATAAATCGTTGCCAGTAGAGCTGAGTGATTCAAATTCAGATCGAAGTGGATGATCTAAATTTTGAGTGGAACAGGCTGATTTCGGTAGAGCACGACACGACACCCAAAGCCCCTCGGTTTGATTTGCTTCAGATTATTTCGCGCTCTATTGCGAGCGGGCTGCTCCAACTCATTTTCAACGTCGTCAAAATATGTTCTACTGAGATGGGCGATTATATATAAAATCAAGATTGCACGGTACCATTTCAACAACATGAGCCACAATCACATTTTACATCCGAAAACATATATTCCTCACCCCTATGCTATGAATAATTAATTTCCTGATTTTCATCATTCCATTAGAACTACATCTGAGGAATTAGCCCAGATAACAATCGTTTACTAGAAATAATTTCACTCACAAGACTGTACGGAGGAAACTGTGATCCAGATCCAGCCATTTCCCTAATTTTTTTTTGGATAACCAAAAGCTTAGTGTCAGAGCTTGGCAATTCCTGGCAAGAACAATCTTTCTAGATTGATGAAGTACTTTGCAAGTCTTCTTCAGTGCTGCCTCAAAGCTCATCTATCACCGCCCTGACGGCAGAATACCCTGAGAGCAAACCTAGTTTAATTTCACACTGTGACATCCATTCTGCGCTTTATCACCCCATCTTACGAGCTCCAAACCAACTTTCATTTCGCCTCCAGCTATAGACGTAGTGCAGAGTCGCAATTAAATACACACTCATTCGACTCTGGGCTACGGTAACTCCAGTCACCGCCACCGCGACGACGACGACAGCAGCTGCAGCTAGTAATTATCCGTTGAGGTCTACCGTAGTCTCCGCGGCTCGATCCTCTTTGGCCTCATTGTGCGGCCGAGTTTGTTTTGTTGCGAGTCCCCGACGACGATGATTTCCCGACGGACTACGCCAAGAATTACGACTTTAATGTCACTTGATATGCTGTGTTTATAGCTGTGGATGCGAGGATCGAGGAGGAGGAGGAGGAAGAAGAGGAGAGTGGTTACTGTTGATTGGGACGAGATGAGGTTTGGAGGTTTGAAGGGCGGGGGGAGTAGAAATAGCTGAATGATCCAAATACAGCACCAGTACAGTAGCCATTATGTTGTTATTGACCAATGATGAAGATGAAAGGAGAGGGGTATAATAAGAAATTCAAGTAGGAAGCGATTTTTGGTGAGGTGCGTGGTCACAAACAAAAACAAACATTAGCTGGGGAGAGGATTCGAACTTGGGACCCTGAACATGCGAAACGAGCTCACTCGCATTGCGCCATCTAGCCTTTTCAGCTGAACCTTCTTGTTGCGACCCAGTGCCACCTCGCCTGAAATTTTTACCTCTTTCATTTCCCCGAGGGTGTTTCATAGATTTCAGCGATACCAAATTTTCCACAAATATCACTCATCTGAAAATATTCTCCTTGTCGGATGACCTTTCTGAGAATAATTTCGTATTTCTAGAAATTCAGAACTAACCCCTGCAAAACTTATCTGCCACTTTTGCCATAAACATGAAACTTTTGCGCACACCGACAAAAAAAATTTATCTCATGGGCGAACTGCTTCTGGGAGAGGAGGGGGGGGGAGGCATTGGTGGGTGTGAAAAGGAGTCCGGGTGACTGCGTGCGTATCTGTCCGTCGTCTGTCATTGCCTATTGCAAACTAGATAAATGGTTGTCGGACGGGATCAAAGCCACCAGGACCGTCACCACCCAGCATCGTCGGACACCTTAGCACCCGTCCCGTTTATTGCTTAACGAGGGTATCTCTCGCCTCGATTAGCGCCATCAAGTCACAACAAAACATCAGAGGGGTTTTTGTTCGGGAACGAGGGGGGGGGGGAGGATGGTGGCAACAATTTTGGTGGAAGATGGTCGGTGCTATGAGTCGGAAGTTTGGGTGCGGAATCGCATTCTTGAAAAAATCGATAGATTCAAAAGTAAAAGTAATCACAACCCCGTCAAGGACTTCTCCACCTCTGTCTCTACCCTTTTCTTACGAAATCAGGTTCCTTTCCCGCAAAGCAATCGTCTCTCAAGGTGACTTAGTAAATACAGTACTCCTTTCTAAACTCCTGCTTTCCGCTCGGGATCACCCTGTTCTGTCTGTGCATTTATATTCATCATTTGAATACTCCAAGCTCTGCTTTCTCGGCTGGGTGCTGTTGAAGCGGCTCATATGAAAGACACCGGCTGATACACTAAATGTGCTGTGGCCCCGACCGGCTCGAGAGAGATCATTTGTTATTTGGACGATCGTAAAAATTTGCATAATAGGTTAGACGAGGAGCGAGGCCGCCTGTGTAAATCTTCCTATTGAGAAAAGGCGACGACATGAGAGAAATGCTAGGGACAAGTAAACAAGACACTCGTAAAGGACACATTTGTGGAGGTTACTGGAGGTTATTCTAGAGAAGGAGGGAGTGGAAATCGATAGGGATTAAAAGTGAAAATTCGCGAGAAATTTAAAGAATTATCAGCTAAGGGGCAGATAATTGCTGAAAGAAAGACCAGAATCAAAAAAAAATTGAAAAGATACAATGGAGGCGTAAGAAAAGATGAGTAATTTTTTACTGATCTCTTTCAAATATCAACACGATCATGAAGTAACATTAAATGAGAAAAATAAAGATAATTCACTCCATAGCTCCTTTGAAATGATACTTCGAAATTTTTGATAAATCCATGCTAGAAACTTAGATTCGGCTTCTCCTTCACGTGAGAAGGTTTAAAAAAATCCTAAAATCCAAGTGATGGAAGTAGAGCTGAAGCAAAAGCCAATTTTGATAAAATATCTATTTTCAATCCACGCATTTCCTCAATATATCACAAGCCACCCCTTATTTGCATTTCTATTTCGAGGTAAATCGGAATCATTCCAAGGTTCCTGAATATGTTTCTGAGTAGATTTGAGTAGATCAGATTTTGTCTTCCACTTTTTGCATTCCATAATTTTTCCATTCACAGATGAAATTGACTCACAACGTGTTGACTGCATATCGATGCGATTTTGAAAACTTCCCCGAATTTTTCAGAACTCCAACTTGATGACGATGGCTGCCCTCTTTGCCCTCTGTGCGGTGATAAACTCCCAGAATCCGAGTGGTCACATCATATCGAACATGAGAAGAATAAACTCATTGGCGTTATCCAGAGGTGTGTGTAGTTTTGTGAAAATCATTAGTCACGATAGTATTGCACTAACTGGAGAACCACACTTAAGTCAATAACTGTACGATTATGCATTGAAGTTTATTTTTTCCTTTTTAGTGTCAAAGAGTCCAAGTTGATGGAACCGTCTAGCAATGCTGAGCAATCTCGGCGAAAACGGGAACTGGAGCTTTTGCGGATTCGAAATAATCAGCAGAAGCGATTAGCCTGTAAGTGGTATAAATTTATTATAGCAATGCAATTTGAAGAAAGTTGCTTCAATTTTCAAAATAAAGTTTTTGTTCGTCAAAATTTTGGAAGCTATTCCAAGTTACTCATTAATCCATAATTGAGTCAAGCATTGGCTTTGATCTATGTTAATGTTAGCTGAGCTCTAAATTGTCTTATGATACAATTTTTTCAAGCTGCTAAAAAACGAAGATCATTCGTGATTGTCCACTGGTTCGATTCCTCAAATGCAATTTGAGACCGTTTCGTGACTACTACATCCGTATAATGAAAACAGTCTTACCCCTGCATTTTTATGTCAAAAAATATGCACAAAATATCGCAAAATTAAGTCTCATCCATTTCTTCATCCGTTGAAGGCGTGAAAATCTTTTTTTAAGAGAGGGTTTGGGTATTGTTTGGAGACTGTCTTCGTGGAATATAAATTGGCTATTATCTGATAATTGAGTTTTACCTATGACTGAACAATTATCACATGTAAAAAACCAAAAATCAGGATTTTTACACCATCACATGAGCATTTAAATTCCAAGAAAATTGCTGAAGAGTTCAGAAAGATAATAAAACATAATTGTCACCAAAATAACTTTTGCAAGATTTCGGATACACTGTTTTTGTCTTTAAAGAGCCTGATGATTTTGTTTACTTTTATTCAGTCGTTAACCTAGTCTGCAATTTTGCGTTTTATCCTGTTTATTTTAGTGAAACGCGGTGCAACAACGTTGATACGCGACTCGCTCACTCCCTTCAGCCGTCAGGTAAGCAAAACTTTCAAATCCGTCACATCACCCATGCATCCAGGTTAAGCATATTCAGCCTTTCACATATCTCAATATTTGTCCGATTTGACCCCTTTCACATTACCGTAACCGCGTGTGTAAGACTGACGTCTGCCAGGTGTACGGAAAATGAGGCAGTAAATGTGGCAAATGCTTAGCAAACATCATCATAAACGACCGACATGAGGCGACCTCAATTATACGAATCGTGTGCTCTTCGATATGTATATACGTCGTAAAGTAAGACGCGCGTAAGACGTAACGCGAACCGCGCAGGGCTCTTGCGCAATATTTTTGAGTAAGGGAGGGAGGGGGATGAGACTTCACAAATTCTTTTGCGCGTTTAAGTCCGTTGGCTCTTCCTGAAGCGAATGTCTACGGTGTGAGGGCCAAACCTGAAATTTGCTAGCAAAGAAAATAATGGTGGGTTGGAGCGGGGGGGGGGGGGAAACAGGGAGGTGATAGAGGCAAAGTGGCGGATTTTTCGAGTTGAGAACAAAGAAACGGTGGAGGAGATTCTTTGGTTTGGGAGACGAAACAGCAGTTTTTTTTGTGAAATTTGGAAAAATTGGAAGGGAGGAGAATGATGGAGAGTTAGTGGGAACCCAAATAGCAAAGAACTCCAGAAATAGGAAGTGGGAATGGGAAGGGCGGATGGGAGACGAAATAGCAGCTTGTAAAAATAGTAAAGGATAAGGGGGGGGATAGCGAACGAACAAATTTCGTGTAGGAAAAGACTGGGGAAACGAGGCTTAGACATATTCTTGTCAAAACAGAAAGAGAAGAGCAGGGAAGGATTGGGTGGGGGGGGGGGGGTTCAGAGAGCTTTTCTAAAATAGGGGTAGGACGGGGGGATGAGAGCCTAACCTTGTAAAAATGAGAAATGGGTTGGGATAGAGAGATGGGAAACAAAATCACGAATTTCTGTAAAAAAGGAAAAGAGGGGCGAAAGGAGGGGAGCGGGGACGGGTAGAAACAGAAACTTTTGTGAAACTGAAAAATTGTTCATGGGGGGGGGTGGGGGTAGAAGATGAGACGGGATTTTTGAAAGATGCAAGTTTATCGAAATTAAGGAACGAAGACGGGGTAGGTACTCGAGTACTCAATATTTTTAAGCTGGAATTTTCAAAATAATTTGGATAGGTAACACAATTTCATCTATCAAGCCAGTTTTTTTGACCAAATAATTTTTTCAGTCCAACGACGAAAGTGGCTCAAGCGGCTCCCCAGAAGTTAAGAAAGAAGAGCCAGAATGCTTCAATGGTATCAAATGCTTTGCCTGTCATGTAAGTTTTTTTTTCATAAAAATCCCCTCTTACCTTTCCGCATTCTTCCTTTCTCATTTTTTTATTTTCTATCATTCAAATTTCAGAGAATTTCGGACTATGGTATCGTATCGAGTTCATTTGAGCAACCACGCTGTCAGGAATGCTTTGATGCGTTAAGAAATCAAGCCGGAGCCTTACCAGCTACAGTAGGTTTTTCTCTTCTGGACCAGCTCAGTTCTATAAGTGTGTCAATGTGCTATGAGCAGGTGTTTGATAGTGCTAATCCGATTAGAGTGAAGGTGTCGGTAGGGGTAGGGGTAACAAAGGGCCCGCTTGTCTGAAGATAAGAACGATCGTTCGCCCCCTGGACGGGGCTAATGAGGTTGCATCACCTCATTGAGACGCGCAAGCATCTAAAAGTGCCGACACCGCACCTTCGGAAGCACTAAGGGGTCCCTATGCGATCGGGGGTAATTTGTCATGCAGAGATTGCCTAAGCGCTCACTTATCCGCACACACATCGATGAACACTCAGGTGTTTTGACGCACTTCCTAGATTTTTATCTGTATGGGAATGATGTGGCGAGGGGATGAGCGTCCGCTAAAGAAATAATGAGATTTTGGATAGTGGGGGTGAGGCCAGACAATTGATTAATCCTCATTCAAACAATTCTTAGGTGGAATTATCAGTCTATTAATTTCTAGATGGAATTTTAGTAGACACAGCATCTCTAATGTCGTAATGCGAGGAAATTCAAGACTTATTTTGACTTTATTGACCCGTATGGAAATTGATATACGCATCTCAGATTAAAAACTGCTCCTATTGTCGCTAGTATGGTCATATCGCGCAGATTTGAACATGTTATGAATTTTGAGATTATGTTAAATATATAATAGTACCAGAATGTACCAATATGCATTATGGAATCAATATTCTCTCTAAATCGACATATTCAAAAGAAGTGCTCAAAAAAAATCTTAACCCAATTAAAAAAATTTTCACCTATTCAAATAAATTTTCACCCAACAGTTTCCTTCAATGCAAAGCACAAAAAATAGATGGAAATGAATTTGTTTTATGAGTTTTATAATAAAGGCTTATGTGGTATATCCTCAAGCAAATAACGCGCCGTTTATGATGTGGTGAGTTTTTTTTGGTGAGTAAATCATCAAAATTCATCTAAGTATAGTTTTATATCTCAAAAAGTCATTGCTGTTTCTGGAGTTAAAGAGAAAGAAAAAGAAAAGTTGAACAAATAGTGCAGGAAAAGGACTCAGCATGAAAAAGCTGTTCACACCCTTCAATTTTGCAAAAAACAAAACCGAATGTTTGAGAAGAATTCTGGACAAATAATGATTTGGTTTCTGGCAAACTCCAGCTCTGTTAATGTACCATTATTTTTTCAAATTATATTCCGAATATTTTAGCAAATTTACTTAAGCGAAGATGATGATTTATGATAAACTGTTTATGTTCGCCGCCCGAGTCATCAATCCACTTTATTCAATCACAACAGTTATCTGGAAATTTATGCACTGTGCACGTTATTTCTTTCCTATGAAATTAAATAAAGTTTTTTTCTATTTTTCTTCAGTTTTAAAGCTGATTGTCAAGTGCCTACAGTTTCGAAAAATAATACAATATAAATAAAATGTAGAAAGAATTTATTCACATGCCAACGATCTCCCTTACTCCTTATATCGGGAAATCTCGGGAACTCGAAACACTTGTTTACAATACTTTATCAATGCTGGATATTAATCGTTCTAGTACGATTTGTTTCTAATATTCAATATGAAAGAAATATCATTTTTAATTTGAAATAACAAACTTTTTTGAAGCAATTTAAATGAACAAGAATATTCCTGTTGCAAGAGGTGTTGATAACTGCGCTAAGGAAGGAACCATGGTTTTCGTCTATTTTCCAGTATAATGTGGACCTAGAAACACGGGAAGGATGTGGGAATTGAAAATAGGCTAAAAAAGTTGTTGAAAGAGCACTCAAAAACACAATCCTCTTAACGTAATTTTGCAGAAATAGCAACAAATACTGCAATTTGCACGAAAAACTGTAGGGCTTATTTTCAAGTTTTAAAGTACTGCTCTTCTTTTTTTTTCAATAACCGAGTTCCTGTCCAAATATCGTATCGTTTAGCTAACCTCCATAATGGATCTACGCACGTCAGTAATGAGTCCATCCACATCCTCGAACACCTCACCGCCTGCCGAGAAGAAAAGTCGAATTGAGTGACGACATTTAGTTTTCAATCGATATTGATCAATACATAAGTTCAACATGTCCCTCTTCTCCTTCACTCCTTCTTCCATTTTTCCTCCACTTTTCGTCCATGTGAAATCTTTCCAAAGATGCCCGTCTAGTTTTCTCATGTTTTTGTAACCTTTATTGGTTTTCCTTCTTTATTGGTAGAAGTTGGTATTACGGTAATGCTTCTAATGACGTCATTATTTACAAATAGGTACTTTGAAAACATATATCTCACTATACTAGTTGACTTTTTCAGACTGCACCACTATTTTATTGTTTTTTCTCACCATTTTCTTCTTTTGTACAGATAAATTACGTTTTTCTCAATTTTTTCGACTATTTTTTAATTCATTGCAGTATCCTGATAGACATTCTTTTATTTGAATGCAATTCGTACAAACGACAGAATGAATGCACACGAACAAAATATGCTTATTGATTAATTCGCAAATAATATGAGAGAAGATCAGAACTACACCCGACTGTAATGAAAGGCTTGAAGCAATTACCCGATGGTTGGACTGGGTTATGATCAGCGATGTGTATTGGGTAGGTGTCATGATTTGTAATATTCGAGCTGGATATTCTGTAGCTGGAAGCAGCCCATTTTTACCGTAATTGGCGTCAAATTAAATGATTGTGGTGTAGAGGAAGATGGGTACAAGAGGAATGTAACTTCCACTCTAGATTCGGTTAAAATAGGCTTTGCTTGTCCGGATATCAATTTCGCTCTAATGTGAAGTTGGTCGATTATCGATCCTAAGAATAATCAATAATCAGCTGAACGATCATTTCTCTTCCATATCCTTTTCATCAAATGATTTCGCAACAGGAGTGACTGGTGACGTCGCTTCGGGAATTGGAGGTAAGCCTAAACATCAGACTTTTTGAAGAGACGTAAACATCGTCCTTTCTATGATCTTACCGTGGATGCCGGTATCTTACGGTAGGTATACTGTACTATGACGTTACGATAGCTCAGGGAACTATGTCACCGTTTTGGAACATGGTCTGGTTTTTATATAATTCGAAGCATAAAATTCCAAAGTGGTGTCAGCTCCTAACTAATCGGTCTAATGCCTAAGGGCCGATCATACTTCACGCGATTTCAGTCGCGACGCGATTTGGCAATTCGCCAGAAATCTTCAAAGCCAGAACTAGCAAACTGCACATGTATAGTGTGTATAACTTACGTGGATTGATAAAATTCCATATTTATACATTTAGAATGTGCTTACAATGATTGATGAACAGTTGGAATATTGCCAAATCGCGTCGCGACTGAAATCGCGTGAAGTATGCCCGGTCCTTGATGCTCAATGTCACCGGAGACTTTTGTGGGCTGATCAAAGAGGGAGAGTTGAAAATTAGTTAAGATAACCATATCTAGTATTGAATAGGCCAGATCATACAAGAAACAAGTTTCTCGGATAAAATATTGGATCGGCAAAAAATCGATTTTTTTTAACGGTTTGTAGATGCGTTGCAATTTGATTTATGTATCAAGAACAATCAGATGGTTCTGTTTATTAGAAAGATTTTTTTCATGAGGAGATGGTGGGGAAAAAATAGTAGATTTTCATCAAATTTTCGAAGATTATGCACCAAAGACGTGAAGAAAAAATACTATAGAAATAATTATTCCTTAGATTGCTGTAGAGCTTTGAAGTTGCACGTCAAAACGAACTTATTCATCAGCCTAATGATTGTAAGATACTCTCAAGGGCAATTTGAAGATTCTAATAACATTTCATTAGCAAAAAAGAGCTGAAATATTTCACTTTATCGGATACTTTCTTTCCTTTGGAAGGAAGCAGAGCAAGAAATTTTTCAAATCGATGTCAATCTTTTCAAATCAATCAAATCAATGAACCTCGATAAATAGGTTCAGGTCTTACCGAGCGTTTCCTCGTGAAATTTCGGACTAAGCGGTTGAGTGCCAAAACTCGGACGACGCAGTCCAGGATCTGACAAGCCTCGAATCAGCCTTGGTGGATTGGTTTTCCTAGAATAATCTCATTCAAACTGAAGCCAGGAGGTCGGTTTTTGAATCTCATTATTAGCTAAGGGGATTTTGACTAAGTTTGCCAGTAAGCTCGCTCAGATTGTTCCCTTTTTCCTCTTTTCTAACCTTGAGTTCAGAAGACGAATTGTGTAATTTTTTGAGCTTGAATGTTCAGACAAACCTTATCGTCAAGGGGCTTGACATTGATGTGCAACGTCTTTGAATGAAGGGTGAGTCCACAAGTGCAAATGGTGATCGAACTGCATCCCGGGGCGTGACGATCTGGAACGATACTTTGCAACAACTCCCATTGGCATCCTAAGTAACTGTATAGAATTTTACCATATTTTCAGAGAGCAGAAATGGTTCGCGGAAGTTTGGGCATATTAGTGAAGGTTTAATCTCAGACAACTCACCGGAACTTCCACAGGGCAAGCAAAATTTGCAGAGGTTCCGCAGAATTTTGTTTACTATTGCAAGTGGAAACGTTGAAAATGGGAACTTCTGCAGAATTTCCACGTTAGACTGGATGAAAACAGGAACTTCCGTAGGGCATACAAAGCGCTGCGGAACTTTCGAAAATGCCAGCGGTTTCCACTTTGACATGCCAGTACTTTCGCAGGGTTTTAAATGTGTTGCCTAATATGTTGTTGCCTCGCCAACAACTAGAGTGCATTATCGAACATGTCAATCGTAGTGTAGAGGATAGTAGCTAAGCCTCACAGTCGATAGAGTAAGGAGTAAGGTTCAAATTCCGCTTCGGTGTTCTTTTTTGCTGTTATATGTAGTTCGCATTCTTCGGAACTTCCGCAGCCCTTTACGGAACTTCCGCAAGTGACCCGGCGGAAATTCCCCAAACGTTCTGCGGAAGTCCCGGCCATCTGAGGTCTTGTCGGAACTACCTTGATTATTTGGTTTTTTCATTGGTCCGAAAGTCTTGCACCACGGAAAAATGGAATCGTGGAAAAATCATCACCTCCGGTTTGTGGAATTCGTTCGATGCAAAGTATATTTCGAAAAGAAAATATTGCACTTTTTCATCAAACCGGAAATTAAAGCTGGCATGTCACGGGAATCCGCGCTGATAATCACAAGTGCTCAAATCATGTTTGAGATTTCGGTTGCTAAAAACTGAAGGGCCAAACAAAAATTAGATTTTTTGCTTGTAATCTTACATTCTACTCTCTCCAAATGTAGATGAATGTGTGGATATTGTTATGATTTGCAAATTTTTTTACTCAACATTTCATTATTCAAAAAAATTTCATATGCACATTGAATTGGAAGTATTGCTATGTGTTACAAAAAATATAGAGTTGTTTTTCGGCATTTTTTAGAATTTACAGACCACGTGATCTTTGATTCAACTGGTTTGGCGAATGAAAGGCGGGACTTTGTGACCTACTTGAGGCCGCTCACGCTCACTGTCTGCGTCTCTCCCACGCGCGTGCTTTCTGGACATTACCTAGTCTTAATAAGGTCACGAAGCCTGGGTACCTAAGATGAGACTTATGGACCAGCCATAAAATTAATAAATCATATATAAAAAAATTCTGCAACCAGGTGATGGCGGAAATAATATCTATCACCAAGCATGACTGGAAAAGAATTCAAAATTGCAATAGAATGCGATAACTCGTCCACTTACCGGCGATTCCTCTTCCTCTTCGGATTCGGTAATTTCTTGAACAGAACGAGCAAAAGCACGGATTTTTTCGTCTCTTCGCGTGATTGGCGATGGACGAGTTTCACAGAATTTTGTCACAGCCGGACATGCAGCCACATGGATACGACTTGCGGTCGTCATCTGCAAAAGTTATGTAAAATTATGAGATTGATTGAAACGCGAATTGAACGACGATTTTTCGTAAACAATACAAACAAATTTCCCCGTTGTCAGACCATAAAGAAGATTAGAACAGCGATGCACGATCGTGTCTAAACGCATGAGGCTACAGTGGTTGAATTTCGGCTGAATGGAAGGTCTCCTCTGAATTACTCAATCGACGGGTCATATAGTTTATTTTTGCTTAAGATTGGCTCTAGACTTTTGCCCAGACCGTATTCTCTACCGTACTCAGGGAGCTGATTGGTCCGCTCGAGAGATATATGAGCTAGAGTTAAGAGCTATTGTTTTTCTTACAGCGATGAACGAATCATACAAACTTCCTCTCATTTTAGGGCTCTTCACTGTTTAAAGTTAGGCTATTCGATTTAAACACAGTTTTATTCATGTACACGTAGTTCCAAATCAATTTAGGAAAGTTATCTATCATCTATAACCTATAATCTATTACCTATTATCTATTCTACAGGTGTCTCTTCAAATTTAAAGCTATAGATTCACATATTAAAGTTTTCCGCTAAAGACCTTTTTCCATATAAAGGTTCAGACTCAGAGTTATTTTTGGCAAGATATGTATTGTGCACCTACACATGCAACGCCAAACGATCTACAGTAAGCAAAAAAAAACTGCGAAGTAACGAAATGATAGGCGGGTAGCAGAATAGTACATGGTAAAAGCTGATATCGCCAACTATCTAGTCAAAAATGCTACTTACAACTACAAATTACTACTTATAACTTACTTCTTACTTGTTATACGAAGAGCAACAAAGAGTCGCGCTGCTGATGTCATAAATTATGGACTGTAAAAGAAGAAAACATATAGTTTTACACAGGATTATTCATAAAATTGCGAAGCTGCTTCTGCAAAGAGTTGGTTTGCTCGAAGCTAGTGTATGACTAAAAATATTAGGGAAATGTTAAAGAAGAAGATACGTGATTGAAATCCTTCGTATACGCTGTAACAAAATTCTACAAACATTCGAAAATTTATCCTACAGCTGTGAAAACGACGAAGCTATTTGACTACATATGCTGAATGGTCAAGTGCAAGTGAACCCTTACAGATCAGAAATCGCAAAATCGAGAAAAATACGTGGGCTTTTGGATATTGAAGTGCAGCTGTGCATCTATTGCTCCCTCTGCAAAACAAGTTTTGTACCGAAAATTTGCTTGAATTTGAAGCTTATTTTTTGAAATTTTTCGCTATACAAATGGATGTTCCTCGACTAGGAAAAGTACAGAATATAAGGTTTTTTTGGTACTGAACAAACAACAGTTAATTTTACTTTGACAATTGTAAAGATCATCTCAAAGACGCAACCCTTTCCTCTTCAAATAAGGATCTTACGTTCTCTAAATTGCCGAAATTTTCGCTAAGATTATTTTGAGAAAATTTTTAGTTTGATGTTTTACATTTGTTTTTCTTGCTTGGCCAATAGTGCCACTTTACAAGTAAACACTAAGTGTGAAAATTATAACGCAGTTAGTCAGATATTTTACGATACCTGTTGCTCAACAACAAAATTTTTGACTCCAAATTGATACGCTGGATAAGGCCACTTTGAGTTATATGGAATTGCACAAGGACATCGATCAGCCCTTCATATTTCTCAGTTTTTGCCGCAAAACTTTTCTTGAATTATTTTTGCTTTAATTCCTAAGCTCTCAAGTGACTTCTCGCATCAAAAAATTTGTTCGTTCACATTGGTGCATTTTCATTTCGTCTTTTTCCTCAATTCTCAAGCCTCCTTTATTTGGCTTGTTGTCTTTTTTTGATAAGCACCGAACAGCTTCGAATGAAAAAAAATGGGCAACGATTTTTTGGGAAAATTCTGTTTTTGATCATCGTGTTTGCTTACCTGTTTTTTGATAATTCTTCCAATTCGCTGTTAATTTACTAAACTATCCGTTTTTTTTACTATCTTTCACATACTTAAACCGACAAGGTAATGGATTTTCGGGTGAAAGAAGATAATGATGAGACAATGAAAATGAACTAACTTTGATAGTCTATACCTTCCACCCGAGATGCTTAGATTTTTTTCATAACCGCTAGAATTTAATAGCATAGGAGAGAAAGAGAGATGTGAAATGCATGGATTTGCTTAAGACACCACGTGCAATACCAAGGGTAGACAATGGCAATGGGAGGACATCTAATTTGTTTTCTCAACGGTCACCCCTAGACTAGCTCGTGGTACATACTAATGTATATAAATTGGCTCATCTCTGGATAGGATAGGTCAGGTTGCGTCCCTTCAGTAAAAACCCAAGAAGTGGAAACAACCAAATTTTGGAGATAATCATAGAAAAGCTTTTCATGATTAGATGAAATATTGTACGATACAAGAAAATTTTATAAGTTGAATGTGGGCAGAATATACAGATAACGAGAATTTTTCAATAAATTAGACAGCAAAATGAATAGAAATAGACAGAGAATTCTTCTGTGAATCATCTTGAAAGTGCAAGGCGAAACAGCCCGCTTCAGAATCGCACCGCAGCGGTGGACGCAGCATGAGCGTTGTGTGCGTATTCGAGATAGGATATTTGAAAGCAATAATTTTGATAAAACTCTCCAACATTTTGATTTTTGTAATTTGCAATGTAATATGTTCCTGTTTACTTGATTCAATAAGTATCGTAAAAGCGAAAATTTGAGGCAAAAAAAAACTTTAGCAAAGCAAAGTCGAAAGAGCTGAGGAACTTATCGGAGCTACTCAGTTGTGGTTCAATTGAAAATGAGGCAAATATTTCAAAAATCAGAGTCAAAAAATTAGCGAATTCATCGTTTTGGACTTGGTAACTTCGTGGAAATACTTTTTTTGCCGGTCCTTCAAAAAATTTGCCGACGGTTGTCCTATCTTTCAAGTATAGGCTGACTGAAAAGAGTACACTGCATGAGTCTTGCAACTGCGAGAGATTTTAGCCTGATTGCTTACTCAACAGCATCCCATAGAATTGGATGAGATTCGCTCGAAAGGATTACTCATGCAAATCCGTGGTTGCTTTGGCAACAGTTTTCAAGTGTAACAGTCAAGTGTCTGCAGAACTTGCAAAATGCTGCAGTAGATCAAACAAGGAACTGAAAGATAAGTCTACACTAAGCTGGCTTCAATTGCCTGCTATACTCTGCCCTCACTGTCTTTTCGCAACTCAGACGCGCTGCACCCGCGCCGCTTCGTAAACGCAGATCGCATGCTTTCTATGCGTGTAATTAAAAATGTAGTGCCTTATTTAGCTTTATACAGCAAAAATTTGTGGACCTTGTTAAGGTGGTATCCGCTGTACTTGAAGGAATTTCAACGAATACGTATAGTTTACAATGCAAAATTTGCGGAAAAAAATCTTTGCCACGCAAACACATTTTTTTGTTTTTCTTTCAGAACGAAGGTCAAAAAATCTCAAAATGTCCCAAAAAACTGAGAATCAACCTATATTCATTCAAGCTTGCATTAATCCATGCAGATATTTGCCGAAAAAACATTCATTTACCCAATTCTTCTTCTCTGTGCTTTTTCCCTTAGATCTTTCTAAAAAACATCTGTAAATGTAAGTAATTACTGCTTATTGCTAATTGTACGTCAAGCGAGAAAGTTTTTTGAACTCAGAAGCAGCAATGAGTGAGATTTTTATGTAATCTATGAAGATTGTCGATCATGGAAATTATTATTTGACTATCATTATTATTATTAATACTCTTTTGAATTGATGAAAAGCAAGCAACGAAAACAAGCTGAGTAAGGCTAATTGAAGGAGGAGCTCAATCGCAAAATTGAACGACTACTCAAGACTTTCAATATTCGAAAAAAAACGAGAAATTCGAGAAGTTTCTCTTCAAAAAACTTTCTTCTTCTACAACCTTGTGGTCCCATAGTATTTCTATCACGAAAAATGTGCAAAAACAATACTTTCTTCCACGTCTATGTAAAACCCGCTATACAAATAAGCTCGATTCGTTTTTCATTAAGGAGGTACAAAGTTCCGATTATGCAACTTAGAAATTATGAATTCTTTGTTATGCCATATAAGGAAGAGAAAAACATGACTAACGAAGCGAATGGGTAAAAAATGTAAAAGGTGGTCCTGGACATGTACGTGTACACCCACAACCTTCAACTACGTCCCAATTCCTTGAATAGAGTGTCTGCAATTAAACAACGCAATAAAAATTGCCCTATTTTTGCCTATTGCGCCAATTCAACAGAAGAAAAAACTATAATTGCCTGCACATTCTTCTTGCAAATGCTCACTTCATTCCGGTATTTTCAGGTGAGCCAGACATATTTTTTCATGCTTCAACGAAAAGTGCACTCCCATTTTCAACAGGTGTATTTAGATTCAAAAAAATTGCACTCAATCAAGGAGCTGAAACTTTTTTGTTTGACCACGAAGTGACATCAGTTCAGAGTGTGCAAAAAGCTTCAATATGTCGTCGAGCTTATTTTTTTTTCAAAAATGGAAATGAGGGCTTAAACTTTGAAAATCAGCTAAAATCGAAACAAAATAGCAAGAGCTTGCTCTCCAAACCCTGCTTTGCTAAATTGGAATTCCAGAAGTTTAGTAGTAAAATTATTCAACATTCAACAACGATTTGTAATCAGCACAACTAGGACATGTTCCACTTCCTTACTTCTTTTTGAATTTCCTATTTATCTTCCAATTTTCTCAAGTCTTCTGGCTATATAGCACTTATGTCTTCTGAAGCTGATTGACTTCTTGACTGACTATAAGAAGTTGTGCACTTCGACTCTCATGTGATATATCTGAACACACTTACTAGATTGATATCTAGATGTTTTGCTTCCTCGAAGAATGGAAAATTCACTAAGGTTTCTTCTTCGCTTGACTTTTTGCTACTTAAATAGTGGAGATGAGAATTCTAATCATGACGCCCGATAAGATATTGTAATGAGGTTTGGTTCAAAGCTGAGCCGTGTACAAATATAAATTTACATAATT